TCGATAAAATTTAATGTGATCAAATTGATATACATGTAACACATTGAACAATTTTTTATGAGATTCATTAATGGACATGTAACAAACATGTAAATATTGCGAAATATAAGTTTTCCCCGTTTCAGAATAGAATTTTAACTTAATTAGATTTTCCTATAGAATAATGTTTACTCTACATACCTCAGCTGCTTTCCATCAGGTAATTTTGACATTCTTATCTGGTCTCAGATTAAAATGAAATCATCTGTTACAACATCGCTCGCATCGTACGTTCGGTATGAGAGACTAGAAGTATATACATAGAACCCATGCGCTGGTGTGACTGCTAGTTTTAGACGGCTACGATAAAGCCTTTTAAATAACTTTTATCGTTTCACTCACGAAATATAAACATCAATGAATTTCTCTTGATAAATAAGGACGCTAAAGGTGGGTTGCCGTTGTTGCATTACATTTTGATAGGAAACGGATGATTAAATTGTGACGCAGCGTTCGAAATTCCGTGAAATTGTTTACCAAACGTCACATCAAGACGCTGCGTTTACGTTTGCTCGCTGAAAATACTTTAAAACGGTGGACGCACCGCTTTTCTTCGAATAATTGCTAATACCTTCTCATTTTCATTCTCTGTAAACTGTTCAATAAAGGAATTTCACAAAACTTATATGATATGATAAGAAACTTTGCACATTCGTGGAAATGTTTCCCTTCTGCTTCATCGTTCAATAAAATGTTTATTCAATTTTTCAATGTATAATTGGCATAATTCTTTCACAGTGTATATATGTATATGTATATTTATGTATATGTATATGTACATACATATATATGTATATATATACATGTAAATAAATAATAGATTGTACGAGGTTATGAGAGATAATCTCTCAGAGTGCTCACATGTATAGCCTGCATATTGAGTGATATTGTTTAGAGTGTGTAATGAGGTATTAGTTTTTATGAAAAGAAAAGACTGTACTTCCTGTGTTGCAGATGTCAAGCAAAGAGTATGATAGTGAAATGGATTGCTCTGATTCGGATTGCGGGGATCCAGGCTACGAAGACTATTACAATGTTCAACCATGGGGTGGTGAAGTTGACAATGACATAGATCCTGATCAAAACAGAAAGGATCCAGAATATGCTGTATATGATTGTTTACGAGTCGAAGAGGTGGAAAGACTTTTAAATGAATACGTTGAACTCTTAAGTAATAGTCTTCATATAACACCATCGCTAGCCAAAGTTTTATTACATGCGCACAATTGGGCATTACAAGATATCATCGTAAAATATAGTACTAATGCTTCCAGTTTATTAATTAAATCAAAAGTAAAACCATTGCCTCTATTGGACACAGTGCCAGGATTGAAAGGTCAAAGAGGTGGATTGTGTTTAGTTTGTGTTACAGTTTATCCGGCTGATAAGTTTTCTACATTAACTTGTGGACATTCATTTTGTAAAGACTGTTGGTGTATGCATTTTGAAGTACAAATAACTCAAGGTATCTCTACAGGTAAGGTTGTTGATCAAATAGGAATAATAAATAACTATGGTAGTTTCAACTTGGAATTAAGACATGTTTCTTTATAGTCTTATCAGTTCCTATTAATAGTATGACGCGATTAATAAATATTTTCATTTTCCTTAGGAATAAGCTGTATGGCTCAAGAATGCGATGTTCTAGCTCCGGAAGACTTTGTTCTGTCTTTACTTACTAAGCCTAACATGAGAGAAAGGTATCAACAATTTGCTTTTTGCGACTATGTGAAGTCTCACCCACAATTGAGATTCTGTCCTGGACCCAATTGTCAAATAGTTATGCGATCAAAGGAACAACGGGCGAAAAGAGTTATATGTACATCGTGTAAAACTATATTTTGGTATGCAGCAAATTCCATAACGTGTTTATAGAGATTTACTCGATCCTAAATAGGTTATGCAATGTTTCTAGCTTCCGATGTGGTATGGATTACCATGCACCAACTGACTGCAACACAATTAAGAAGTGGTTGACAAAGTGTGCAGATGATTCTGAGACGGCTAATTACATTAGTGCCCACACTAAAGATGTTAGTACATAAATTTAACATATGCACGGGATTGCAGTTTAATAAAAGAATGAATATACATTTTGCAGTGTCCAAAATGTCATATTTGCATAGAGAAGAATGGTGGCTGCAATCACATGCAATGCTATAATTGTAAACACGACTTCTGTTGGATGTGCCTTGGAGATTGGAAAGCGCATGGAACAGAATATTATGAATGTTCCCGCTACAAAGAAAATCCTAATATTGCTCATGAAAGTGTTCATGCACAGGCTCGAGAAGCTCTCAAAAAATATCTTCACTATTATGAGAGAGTAAGTTTAAGTATAGAACATGTATAGCCAATAGAAATTAATATTTAGTTCTTTTTTTCAATTCGATTTGATTAGTGGGAGAATCACAGTAAATCATTAAAACTTGAAGAACAAACTTTGGAGGGGATAAAAATGCGGATAAATAAAAAAGTGATGAATGCAAGCGGAACTTGGATCGACTGGCAACATTTGTTTGAAGCTGCGTCACTTTTGGCACGGTGCCGTTATACGTTGCAGTATACTTATCCTTATGCTTACTATATGGAACCTGGACCGCGTAAAGAATTGGTAAAACCTTGTTCGATATAATAGGAATTAGTGTATTGTATGGGGAGAGCTGACGATGCGCTATTATTTGAAGTTCGAGTACCAACAAGCTCAGTTGGAGGCTGAAATTGAAAATCTATCCTGGAAGATAGAACATGCGGAAACGACGGATCGTGGAGATCTTGAGAATCAAATGGATATTGCCGAGAAACGTCGTGTCACATTGTTAAAGGACTTCCTTGAGGTATAAGCATTCATCGGACATGTTGTAATGTGTTCTGTAATCACTAACGCGTTTTCTACATTCGGGCCAAACTTGTAAAGCAATTGCAGTTTAATTTTTGAAACGATTAATCGTATATTCCAAGAAATAATATTTTCTATGTAGCATGTACTAGATAACTATTTGACACTAAGAGAACAGGACACAGGACATAGAACAAAGTTTTAATAATTAGAAAGAAGATTAAAGATGTTCTGCAAGCGATAACCGAAGAAAATATCTTTCCTAACACGTGAAGAATTTCAGTCAAAAGATAATGTTTCCTAGAATTAACTATTCGTTTTTCTTTAAATTATAGTATTTAACGGAGATTTGTCCGTCTGTATCATGAGTGACTTTTTCAAACGAAGAAATTGGAGTCTCGATGATCTAAACCGAATCTCGATTTGATTCTTATAGCTAAGTTATTTATGTAATGATACATAACGAAGAATTCTATTGGTGCATGATCAGAATTAGCACCACAGAGACGGGTTAATGAAAGAAAATAGGAAAGTATTAATTGTACCGACTGATTGTTAAAATTTGTTGTAGAGTGTATATTAATTTCCTAGTCTAAGTGTATTTCCGTAACGATGCAGCGCTTTCTTCGAGGTTCAATATTTAGGAACTACTTTTGTCGACGCTTACAGTGAAGTCTGCCGCCAACTGCAATAACAATTGCAAATCTTATGGATACTTAAATAGGCATCATCGAATGACTTTCAACTTCAAGAACATAGGTCGATGGAGATTTTTAACATTTTTTTTTTATTGCTGCTATTTAAGATACGTTTTAGTACCGACAACTTACAGAAAAAGAATAAAAGAACACAGGTAGCCTAACAAATAATTAGGTGCCAACGAATGGTATCTTTTGCCGTGTAAATATTGTGGTAATGTAAAAGGATGTGACATTTTCTATAATTAGCGTATAAGATGTATGCAACGATCAAAGACATCTGCGACGAACGTAGCCGTAACCGAGCAGTAACTCTTTGTAAACTATTTAAACACGATACGTTAGAATAGCAGTGATATTCTACGAGAGAACAATGATCGTCGATGATTCATTGACGAATATTATTACAGTAATGACCATTGCGTCAAACTAAATGTAACAACCACTGTGTCGCTAAAAAAAATAAACTTTATCGTAAAACAATTAAAATCAGTGTTGAAGTGGAATTGTTTATTTAATATATATATGCATATACGAAAAGTTTTACTAAGATCAGTATTTTCGGGTTAGGTATCTTTCTTTGTCAGGGTGAAGTAGCCGATCGGGATCTTGGCGCGAAATCGTTTGCTGACTCGACTATTTAAATTTTCAAGATGGCGCCGCCGATTGATTGTTACGGTTAGAGAAGCAAGCAGGTCTGTGGGCAGATACCGTGGAATCGCGATGCGTATATATCGCGAAAATATCGAAGTATCGACAGATCAGCGAGAAGAGCGCTGCTCCCCTCCTGTGAGCTTTTAGAGAAAACTTCCTGTATTGCTGACAGTGGTCGATGAACGAAGTGTTCGGTCGGCAGAGAGAAAACATCGCGAGAATAGGCTCATCACGGTACCGCTCCGTATGACAGACGGGGCTGTCATATCCTGCAAGAACGTACCTTCATCCCCGAAACCTTCGAAGACATTAGCGCAACAATGGCGATGGGCAAAGGGTTTCGCGTCTACGAAAAACTAAAGCCGCCTAGTCCTCATTCTCTGATACTAGAACAACGAAATCGAAAAGAGACTGTTCTATTCGAGGCACAAGCTGTAGCTGTTCTCTGTAAGTACTTTGCTGTTTATTAACAATAACTATTTCAAAAATATCTTTGGGATTCTGGATCGTTGCTTCATGCAAGTTTCGTTCGAAATCTTTGAACTGGTACCTGTCAGATGCGTATCTTCAACTTTTTTTCACGGATCATTGTTTTACCTGATTCAATAAAAATTTTTGTTTGTTTATTTATTATTATTACAGCCTTTGTATTCAATATTACAGCTGCCGAAGAAACGGAATCTTTGAAAGGGAAATACACGAAATTATTAGATGCTTATGGGTGTTTAGGTGTATTACAATTAAATGCTGGAGAAAATACATTGTTGTACCTTGTTCTTGTTACTGGATGTTTCTCGGTCGGTAAGATAGGCGAATCTGAAGTATTCAGAATTACACAGACACATTTTGTGCCGTTGCATTACACTCAAGGCAACGAGGATCGGGTATCTGAAGTCAGGAAGGTTCTTAACTCGGGTACATTCTACTTTTCTTGGTCTGCTGGACATCAAGAGTCTCTTGATATCACCCTTAGTGCACAAAGGAGATGCAAGGCTACTATGACTGATAACAGATTCTTTTGGTTTGTATTCTATGTATAATACTTCTTGGAATTAGATCTGGTATTGTAATATTCATCTGTTATCAAACAGGAATCGAATGTTACACATACATTTATTGCGATATGGAGTGGACACGAGTCATTGGCTGCTTAAAGCAATGTGTGGTAGTGTAGAGATTCGAACTGTTTATGTTGGTCACAGGCAAGCACGTGCAGTTCTAATGTCTAGATTAAGCTGTGAACGTGCAGGCACCAGGTATATTTTATGTTCATAGTAGTTCTGTTTCAATCAATCGAAATCAATAAGGCAGCTGTTTTATATTTATCATACTTTTTATCAGACTATTCCCTGTGGGAGTACATTAATGGATGCAGCATATTATTACAATACTGGTCTTTATCTAGGTTCAACGTCAGAGGTACCAACGACGACGGGCATGTGGCAAACTTTGTAGAAACAGAGCAAGTCATATACTTAGACAATGAAATAACTTCCTATGTTCAAACCAGAGGTTCTGTTCCTCTTTTCTGGGAACAACCTGGTATTCAAGTCGGTTCCCATAAAGTCAAAATTTCTCGTGGCTTCGAGTCCTCTACACCGGCATTCGATAGGCATGTGAATATGATCAAACAGAGGTATGGCCAACAAGTGATAGTCAATCTCCTTGGATCTAGTCTGATTGGTAACAAAGAAGGAGAAGCGATGTTGAGTCAGTTGTTCCAGAATCATCACAACTTGTCAGAGCACAATGATGTGCCCCATATTTTATTCGACTATCACCAAGAATGCAGAGGTGGAAATATAAAGAACCTTTCGAAATTGAAAGCGAAAGTGGAGAAATATTTAGAATCTTTTTCACTGTTCTATGCTGTGAACCATACCGTTATGTATGAACAGACAGGAACTATTAGAACGAATTGTCTCGATTGCTTAGATAGAACAAATTGTGTACAAACGTTTTTCGCATTGGAAATACTGGGTAAGCAGCTTGGGCTATTGAAACTGCTAGAAAAACAGCAGATGGTTTCGAGATTCGAGGAGGTATTTAGGCAAATGTGGATCAACAATGGTAACGAAGTAAGTAAGATATACGCTGGCACTGGAGCAATCCAAGGAAGCTCGAAATTAATGGACGGCGCAAGATCTGCAGCGAGAACAATACAGAACAATTTGTTGGACTCTAGTAAGCAAGAAGCCATCGATATATTGTTATTGGGATCAACGTTGAATACAGAATTAGCTGATAGAGCGCGGTTACTTTTGCCCTCGAACATGCTTCACGCACCACCAAGCGTTTTGAGAGAGATGTGCAAAAGGTACAACGAGTATGTGATTCCAATGAATCTTAGAGTAAGCGTTGGTACTTATAATGTTAACGGTGGAAAGCATTTCCGAAGTATAGTACAGAAAGATGTCCCCTTTGCTGATTGGTTACTAGATGCACCCCGTAAATCTACATGTAAGTATAGTCTTTGTATATAGGATGAGATTTTCTATCAGAATTAGTTGTCGTTCTATCTGTGTCGTTTGTTGCAGCTCTAGTATCAGTTGAATATGACAATGTTCCTGTAGATATATTTGCAATAGGATTCGAAGAAATTGTTGATTTAAATGCTAGTAATATAATGGCTGCTAGTACTGATAATGCAAAAGCCTGGGCAGAAGAATTACAGAAAGTACTTTCTCGGGACACCGAGTATGTTTTGGTCACGTACCAGCAGTTGGTCGGTGTATGCCTCTATTTATTTATACGGCCTATGCATGCACCTTACTTACGGGACCTGGCCGTAGACTGCGTGAAAACTGGATTTGGTGGTGCCACGGGCAACAAAGGGGCAGCAGCTATTAGATGCGTATTATATTCCACGTCTTTCTGCTTCGTATGCGCACACTTTGCTGCTGGACAGTCTCAAGTTAATGAGCGTAACGCAGATTATGCGGAGATTACGCGAAAAATTACCTTTCCCATGGGAAGAACATTGAATACTCACGACTACGTGTTCTGGTGTGGCGATTTTAATTACAGAGTCGACATGGACAAAGATGAGATGAAAGAGATGATCAAACGGAACGAATTAGATCAAATATTACAATTTGATCAATTGAAGGTAAAAAAAAAATGTATAGATATTGTACAAACAGTAGAAAGAATATGTATACCGTAAAATCGCTTTGTATATGTAACACAGGTACAGCAGGCGCAAGGAAACGTTTTTAAAAATTTCTTAGAGGGTCCTATCAATTTCGCACCAACATATAAGTATGATGTATTTTCTGATGATTATGACACCAGCGAGAAGTGTCGCCAGCCCGCGTGGACTGACAGAGTTCTATGGAAACGTAGGAAACAAGTACCTGATATCGGTTAGCATTGAAATCATTTTTAAAATGCAATTACCTTTTCCTCCGTATGTATTCAATATATAAATCATTTTAGATTCGCCTACAGATTGGAATCCTGGGAAATTGATTCATTATGGTAGAGTGGAACTGAAGCAAAGTGATCACCGACCAGTCATAGCGATCGTCGATATAGACATCCACTGCGTGGACCCCGAGAAACGGGAGAAAGTATTTAAAGAAGTAATAGAAGACTTGGGTCCGCCTGATGGCACTATTGTCGTAAAAGCGGTGGAGGAATCTGACGATATGGACAGCGTGTTCGATGAGAATTTTATGATGGCTTTGCTGCAGGATTTCTCACATATTGGCGAGGTGATTTTGGTCAGATTTGTCGGCGAGACAATCTGGGTGACATTCAGAGACGGCCAATGTGCTTTAGCTGCGGCCAAGAAAGGCATGACTCAGGTGTGCGGTCAAACTTTGAAGTTGTCTTTGAAGTCACCGAACTGGGTACAAGTAATAGAAAAAGAAATAGAACTGTGTAGCAACACCACTATTGCACAGTTCACTTCAACTTCTCCAGTGAGAAGTCCTATGCACAGGTTGGAACAGTTAGAAATCACGGAACGAAATTCTCCGAGTAGAGGTAGCCCTAATGGATCAGTTCCACCGCCTAGACCAGCTCCACCAGGTAGACCATCTCAGCCACCCAAAAGCCCCTTGCAAGACCGAAAGCAAGGACCACGCGCTGGTGTATTTAGCGTGTTACCGAATCAGTTTTCAACGCCACTGGCCAGAGAAAGAACAGGAGCTGACCAAAATGAAAGGCTATCACCGGAGTCAGCAATTTACGAAGAGATACTGGACGGATCTCCTAGTTATCCCATACCAAACCGTCCACCACCGCCATTACCTCGCACAGACGCTGCGCAAGAACCATCCAGTAGACCACCTAGCTCGAAACCACCTCCTCTGCCACAGAGACAAGCACCTCCTCCACCTCAACATCCACCGCCTAGTTTACCAGCATCGAATAATCCACCGCCCATACCTGCAAGGACATCGGGAGGACCACCTATTCCAGCTAGGAATCCACACTAAATACTTACATATGTTGTCCCATTTCGATGCGAAGCTGATCATTAGCGATCATTGCGTAGCTAATTATTTATGAATATTAATAGAACTCCTACGTAAAATAGATCGCTTCAGAGTTGAATCGTTGTACAGCTGTGTGTAACTTATTGCAAACCACGAGTCTATTCTGTGATTAGCCGAAATTCTGTTTTCCATGCACCGTGGGAACCTATACTTTCTCCCTCGCGCACTATCCTATACAGAGTTGGACAACATTTAATGTAATTTATAATTTAAATGATGAATTACAGTTAAATTCATAGTTTAACTGATGTGTAATCGCAGTTGATGAAAATACGTATTTAATCATCAATTGGATTCATGATTGAATAAAATTCAAAATTTCAATCGACTAATATGCCCAACTCTGCTTATACAGCAATATGCGACGTTTAACCGAGAGTTTGTTAAATACCTCAGAAATTTAATTATTATATATACATATATGATAGAGTGAATATGCAGAATTAGCGATCCGCATGTAGAATTCAAAGGCTTTTTAATAGTCGTTGAAATTTGATGAGATAAAATAATTATGTTAATGGATTCTATGATGTAAAAACAAACATTTGAATATAACTGAAAAAAATTTATAGTGATGAAATGTTAGAAATCATCGTTGTTGTGACCTACGATTGAAGCGAACGAGCTACGATAAACAATTGTGTTTCCATGATGCATTAATTTATTCGTGCGGACGTTAATGCTTATTTGATTACGTCTATTTCTTATTGCATCTTTACTGTATTTTTCTAACAGTCAAAGAGAACAATTTGTAATCAACATAAGATTCTCAAGAATCAAAGACATGGGTGATTTAAGTTTGTAAATTGATTCTAATAAATAAGGAAAAGAAATAGACTCGGATAACAGTATTCTTCTAAAATACTTTCCATATAAGTATTGTATTGTATGTATAAAGTATAAAATATATACAATCGTTGACCAATCAATGTTCTCTTGTGTTGATAGAGTAATAACGAATATAAGAAATTGTTATTATAGCGTAAAGAACATTAATCATAAAACTTCCAACTTGAAAAGCACTGTCAGAAAGAATAAAACATTGCTATATATTTATTTTGTAGTTTCATGTATTGTATTATTGTACATGTACATATAAAGGTCGATACAAGATAGAAGTAAAAATGAGATTCTATGTTTACACAACGAAGAAAGCATTCTTAATTACTTTGCAGGAATCAGAATAATAAGTACTTGATATGCACGCGGCGTTATTCATGGAATGTTTCTCAATCTCAAGAAACCAAAAAAATAAATTTTTCAAATAGATTCTTTTAACAGACATGCAAGATCCTCGATAAGAAATCAATGAAAATACACAAACCAATCTGAAAATATTTGTAATGGAATTATGTCTAAAATTCGAAAAGTGAATGTAAATATAAATGGCTTTAGTAAAATTATTGCTCTTCTCCATAATTTACTAAACTACGGATCTTTTAAAATATAGGAATATAAAATGATATGACCTTCTGTTAAAAAGATTTTTATTTGTCTCAGCGGTATAATGAGATTAATTTCGAAGTCTATAACTCCTAGCGTTGTCTTTTGCATGGAAGCTAGAGCAATAATGACAGCCTTTCGAGCGTTATTTAATAATACGTACAAAAAGACTTTACAAAAAAAAGAATTGATATCAAATTTCACTTGCATAAATATATTCTGTAAACACAGAGATCTGTGTTCGTTGTCAGAGTATAAACGTTCACGAGAAAATTGAATGGCTTCGACCACAATCATGGAAATACATTTCCATTCCCATTATAGAGAGTCTTTTTAGCAAATAAATTATATACAAAAAGATATCACTAAATTAACAGCTAACTAGGTTCTGGTTAATATACTAAATACAATTGTCAGAAACCAAGTATCCTTTCATTTGTAAATAGTATTTACTATTGTCCACGAAAATGTGATATACCAATGTTGAGATTTTTACTTTTTCATCATTTCGGTTCAACAATAAATTTTGCAACAAAAAATCCAATTAGTGAAAGGTAATTTTTAAAATAGAAATTGTTATAAACGTTTGGTGTAGAAAAAATATTGAGACAAACAGGATCCAGTAAGTCGTACAATACTAAACAAACATGTTGCAAATATTGATAGGATGCCAAAATGAGAATATTGTCCATTTGGCATTTGCATTAGCATGCACAGAACGTTTCTGATCCTAAAACTTTTTGTTCAGTCTCACGTATATCCTTTGTGCTCTTGCATAGGTTTAGAAACCTCAGACTTGGATCTTTTGGATTCAATATAAATTCCAATTAACATTTAACTTAGCAAGCCGCAATTGCTTAAGTTATTTTTGATTATAACGTCGGTCACAGCATCGAACACAAATTGAATGTTAGATGTATCAGTGGCACAAGTGAAGTGCGTGTAAATTTGTTTCTGATCTTTCCTTTTATTCAAATTTTCGAACTTCATTTGAATATAGGAAGCACATTCTTCGTAAGTGTTCGCACCTTTGTATTCTGGGAAGCAAATAGTCAAGGGACTCCTCGTGATCTTCTCCTCGAAAAGATCCTTTTTGTTTAAGAACAAAATGATCGACGTTTCAACGAACCATTTACTATTGCAAATAGAATCGAACAATTTCATTGATTCTATCATCCTATTCATTTCTTCGTCTTCCGCAAGTACCAAATCGTACCCACTCAACGCGACGCAAAAAATAATGGCAGTAACGCCTTCGAAACAATGTATCCATTTTTTTCTTTCTGATCGTTGGCCACCAACATCGAACATTCTGGCAACACAAAAAAGAAATCTTAGCTACAATAGATGGCTAGAGATCGATAAATACAAAAAAATATGTAGGACTTACTTAAAATGTAGACCCTTAAAAGAAAAATGTGTTTCTACTATTCCAGTGGTTTTCACGCGTGTTCTGAGAACATCTTGCTGTGTTGGAATGTAATTGGGTTGAGCTATGCGATCTAGAGCATTAAGATAATATGCTGCCGAGTCATTGATCTTGTATTCTCTACTGCGAGTGTAACAAAGCTGTACACCAGGGTCTTGCCATAATCGTTTCATTAACAGCACTAGTTCCCCGGTAAGTTCGCCCTCTTCTGCTGCGGAGGCTAGAGTAAAAAATTGCCGTGCTATGTCCTACAACATAATTAGATCTTGCTAACACCAATACCTATAGTACAACAATATAGAGAGCATATTACCCTAAGAGTACGATACTTACTGCTTTACCAGGATCCACAAAATCGATTCTAAGCTGTCCCATGGCTCGAATGATTGCCATTAGACTTTGGATTGTGTTACTATACACTACAGGCTTATATTGCTCGCATTCTTCCTTATTGTATCCAGTTTCATGAATGATTTTCATTTGCTTCACTACAGTGGACTTACCAGATTCTCCCGCTCCTTTAAATGTTAAAAAGCATGTGATACATTTTTGTCGTGTATCGGGGAGTAATAACAATCATGAATCAAGATAATAAAAGAGAGTAAACAATCAGGAGGGGATTGAAGGAAACCTGTCGCGTTATCGACATGATTCACGCGGCACGGTGATTCAAGTTTTCGGGAAAATCGCCCGCGCTCCGTTTCCGCGATTGCGCAAATCCGATAATTGATTGCGAAGCGACGACGCGCGGGGGAACGGGGAGGTTAGAGGCGGGGGAGACCGATTTGAAATAAAAATGGAACGAGAACGTTTAAATAGGGTAGAGTAGTGGCACGGGGAAAAAGAAAGGAATAGTTCGTGTTTCTGGAGCGGTATCTGTCTAGTGCAGCGTGACCGGTCGAGTTACGTTGAAGCTAAAGGTGTCGAGAGGGAAAGGTGAATTTTCGTCGGACATTGGGAGACAAAAGAGGCGATGACACCGAGGACGACGGTTCGCTGTTTTGGGAAACCGGTGGCATTCGAGGGAGACACGAGACAAGCACGAGAGAATACCGGAACAAACAGAGTGTGAAGATTACCGAGCAATAGAAGCTTGACCTCACTGGAGGCCCGCTCGCCATCGGCTCTGAGATCCTTGTCGATCTTCTTCGATCTTTCCGCGGCTTCTTTCTCGCCGGTGGTGCTTACCGCACAGCCCATCCTCGCCGATGGTCCTCTCTCTCTGCCCGCTGGAGGAGGAAGAACGGGGCACCATGCACGGCGTCTCTCTGTCGCGGACCCCTCCGAACACCACAGTTGGTTTTACTCGACCACGGTCCTGGTCCCCCGTCTAATGACACTTGTTGCACGGACGTGTGGGAACCGCCCGCACGCGGTTGCCCTCGCATACACGCACCGAATCGGACACGCACCCGCGCACACACTGGTTCGCAGACGTTTCCCTTGGCGCTCTCGCGTATTATCAAGCGATACGTGTACGCATATATATTATATACCTACACGTACATGTATGTACATATATTTCGCACAAGATCTTGTTCTACGCTTTCTCGTCGAACGCGATGACAATGGCTCGAAACTCGCGTTCTGCGCACACACAATCAACCCCGATATGATAATATCTATGACCGGCACCGATTCGCCTCGCTCTCGTAAGTCCCTCTGCGACCCGCAAATACTAGAGACACCGCAGGACACGCAACACACGATCAGGATTCGCGGAGATCTTTCGATCGCGATTCATGGGCCAATCCCGTTCCGATCTTCGATGAAGTCCCGACCAATGGCGTGCGCCGCCCCGGTCAGGCCCGCGCGATCATTTTAGCGCCATCTGACGCGCAAATCGCATGGTTCAATGGATCTACTATAATGCGTAGAGGCCTCTTTCTACTCGATGTTTCGTTCGTGATCGTCTGTTTGGGTCCGCAGGCCCCGAGATCTTATGGATTTGTTTTATGCACTGTATTCGAGTTCGTGAAAAGACCGAGGATAAAGCTAGGCCCGTCATTGACTCGTCATCAGTTTGGCAAACTTCTAGAATGTTTCTTCTTAATCGTGGAATTACTGTCCTACTATCGCATAACAATCCTGTCCGAAATGTGAACTGGAATCACAGGATTCAAATCGAGCGATTTCCCGCTGAAGGAAAGATCTACTTTGCGTAGATCTACGTTTTTAACTGCCGCTGGAAATGATTATGATAGCTTAGGGAATGCTGAGCCAAAAGATACTACGAAAAGGGTCTGTGAATTGAAAAAGGTTGCATTTAGGTTTTGTTAGGATTTTAAATGATTATCTTCAAGAGAACGGTATTAATAATTGAATATAAGATTTTAAAAGGTATACAAATGCTTTTATTTTCAGCTATTCATTCATATGATTCCGCGTTACAAATGATAACGGGAAGAACGTATGATAGTACCTACTCTGACCCTGATGCAATTTCATACAATTGAGTCAGGTCCGTCGGATGGGTATATTTTTATGATTCATTTGTAACAACCTCGTCGTTTTCAGGATATCGTCGTATCTTCAAAAAATTTCCCGGTAGTAATTAGTTTACAATATGGCTGTGTCTCGACGAGGATGCTTCCCGTTTCGAATAATGACCATAAAAAGGGGAAAAGGGCCGCATAGGGTGCCGAGGAACAAACCTTAAGGGCAAAACCCACCAAACCTGTATAGCACTTGATTTCTATTCAATGGACTCTAGAGGGTCCGTACCGGAAACGGCGTAGGACCTGTTCAGTACATATATGAGAGAGATTGAAAAGGTTCCGAAAATAACTGTTTCAAACAGTTATATGTATATCGGTTCTGACTGAAACAATTATGGAGAACCGAAAACAGTTATGAGGTATAAACTATTATCGGTTCTGATTTATGTCGGTTTCAGTTTTTAACACTTAGCCAACCGAACGGGGAGATCTCCCCGTTTTAAATTCAGTCGGTTGATGATCGAATGGATGATTATTGAAAAATTAAAAATGATTGCTTAATTTTATTAAGATTTGCAAGAGGTACGAATGCTGAAGAAGTAGTCGATGCCATATAAGTTTGCTTCATAATTTTGGTTTAATCGAATGAAATATTTTAATTTTATGAAAATTTTTTAGCTTTCTAGCGCGGTCGTGGAATCGTTAAGAACCGATATTATATCGATTCTACGTATAATTGTAATTTTTGGTTCTGGATCTCGGTTATATGTGCACGTATTGGTTAAATTTAATGCAGTGTAAGAGATTGTACACCCTTAAATTTCTGTGCGGTAGACCAAACAGTACATTGGCCGTAGTCGCAGTTTGTCAATAATACACAAAGTATTTCAAAATTTATACTTTGACTTCCTAAAGGAAATACAATGTATTTGATAATAGAATTAGAAACGAAATCCGTAACCGAAACTTAGAACCGAAATAATGGTTCGAAACTCAGAACCGATATAATAACGGTTCTAAAGAACCGAAACCGAAACCGATATAAGCCAGAACCGATATTTTCAACCCCTGGTATATGGTCTCGTGCAATCTCCACTCGAGACATGTTTTCTCGAATAGATTTCAATTTGTTAACTTTTTAACTACCGAAAGAATATTTGCAGCATCAAGAACGTTATGAGACACAACTGAACAACAAGAGCATACCTTGAAATCCCTTCTATGTACAGTACGCACGCAGGATATCTAAATTCGACGAGTTAATTAACGAAAAAAATTCCTACTCTATTATATAAACTTCTGTGTAGACACGCGTCTGTTTGTATACCTAGTCGACCTGCGACCGCTGTTTCAATTCAGTCTAATCAGCAAGTTTCTTGGGAATTGGTTAAATCGGAGCCAAAGCACAATCATGAAATTCTTAACGATTCTTGTGAGTTCGATAGTGATAATCGTGATTAAATATACGGCAAATATAACATTACATTCTCGTGAAATTTTCGTGGCTTCAGCTTCTTGTCGGCGGTATCGGTTTCAAGCCTCTTCCAGCGAACGCAACGATGGAAGACTATTTCGATGAAAAGATTAGAGAAACGAAGATTGAAATAGCGAAGCTGTATCTTCAAGAGCCACCGGCAGGTAAACGCAAATACAATCAATAAATAAGCTTAGAGTGATCCGTAAGGCGGATATACTCCTCGAACATCGCAGGGAAATGTATTGTCTTTTGGTATTGGTTTTACAGTGCCAAAAAAACTGTACAACGTGCAATGGGATCGTCTGTGGCACGAGAGCCTCGGCAATCGGCGGCTGTTCATAGCGAAAGCCTTGAACAAAATCCTCTACGTCGAAGAACACCGCGTCGCAATGTTCTCCACAGATACGTCTCCTTCCAATCAGACCTCGATGGCGGAACTTCCCGTTTGGCGTTTCAATGGTGCCATTAAATTCATCAAAGTACGCTAAATGGAGATGGCTGAATAAATCGGTGAAGTAAATCTGGTGAATCTCTTTTCGTTATTTGGAGACTTTGGTTCTCTTTTTCCCCACTGCAAGAGCCACCATGTTTGCTCCATCGACAAAAGCTCGCGAACGTCTGGAGGAGCTAGTTCGCGCAAAAATTGTATTAAAAACGAGAGTCGAAGTCTTCCAGACGTTCCTCGACATTTCGTCAGCGTCCCGGCTAGCCTCATTGAGCGGTTGATGACTCGCCGATGGTTACCACGCTCACAATAGGGTACCGTTCGCACCCGGAAGCCTTGAGCAGTCGTAACAATGCCTGCTCGCCATTGTCTTCCGTTCGTACGGTTCCCGAATCCCGGTTCGCTCGAACGAGGATGCCAAATTAACATTGATCTCTCGCGTCACAATCGAATCGATGTTCACAGAGCACCGTCTGGAAAACCATGCTCTATCTGCTGATTTGTTACGAAACCGATTTCTGCACTCTGTATGCGGGAGCGGAAGGCCTGCAAATGAAACACCGGCAGAGCATTCGCTGCAAGGGACACCCCATGGATGCCAGCTTCTTCGTCAGAGAGAACCGACTTTATCTCGTGGTGGTCAATAGTTGGGGCCAGTTCACTGTCCCGTCTCTGTAAGCTTTACCTCAAGGAAAGATATTTCATGTTTGGGAACTTCCAGAAAATAGTTTTCGTATCTATTCGGTGTTAGCTGTTCGATAGATTCGGTACCATGTTACGTAACGGAAAAGAGAGACTCTAAGTCCGCATTGAATCACGTAGAAGTCAGAAAACACGACGAGTGGCACACGATTTCTTAGTATTAGTGAAACTTAGCATACTAAACGGAACCATCGTCGTCCAGAATCTACCATTGGAGAGGCACGTACATGGACAAGATAGCGGAGGCGATGACCACCGCTGCCGTTTCCGTCGCCACGTTCCAGCACAAGCACTTGACCATTATGGTATTTGCGCAAAACGACTCCAGCATCGGTATCGTGGTGTACGAGTTTAAAGATACCAGCGCGGACAATGTACAGTTCCTATCGACCATTAATCCTGCCTCTGTCCATCATTACAATCATGCGGGTTTTAGTTTTATTCTTTTGACGAATAAACGTGGACCCGGTAATCTGTTCTGGTGGGACGGTTCGTTTATTTCTGTTATCGTTTACCTTTGCACCCTCAGCACGCGGAAGAGACATTTCAGTATTGCTTCTTCCAGGACAAGAATTGTTGAATTGGAAAGAATTCTTCGAAACCGATGCGCCGAACTTGATCCGTACAGTGACCGTCGGCGATGACACATTCTTCGTCGTAGCCAATACTGTAAGCATCTCTCTCTCTCTCTCTCTCTCGACACAGTCGTTACTAAAACATCTTCTTAACGTTCCAAATCTAGAAAACTGATTATAATAGAAATATCGTTCGTCGCAGAATTTTTTGAGATTGTACAAGTTCGAGAATGCATCGGACTGCACACTGTTGAGTTCGAAGGAGTTGCCTGAAGGAGAAACTGTGGTCGACATAGAGACTCGAACAGAAAACACTAAGGTGATCATAGTGCTGATCACAGAGAACAACAACGGCGTTCTTTCCGTGGAATCCTGGGGGATGGACATCAAGGAAATCTCTTCCGGTTCGTTCACAAGAAACTAAGAAATTTCTGAAATCGAAACAATGTTCACTAAAAATATTATTTTCAGAAGATTCGAGCGAGGAGAGTCTGTCGAAGCATTTATCAGACCTGGTAGAAACGCTCCAGCGAAGAAGACCGCTCGTGCAGCAAGCCGAGTCTTCGTGGCCCTCGTTATATCCTGCGAATGAGGATTTAACGATTTCCGATCCCCTGATAATACCAAAGTTGATCCTAAAATCGGGAACCGTGAGGAACATCATCACACCCCGCGACCTTAAGGAAAACTTGAGAAAGTTGACTCTCGAGGTCGACAGAACTCTCGCGGCGTCCAAAAATCTTTTATCGAGCACTAAAAATTACTTCCCCATGGACATTGTCGCCGAAAATAATGCTTCCATCCGAACGTTAGAAATCGATAAGCTTGAGGTCGACTTCTTGAACGGTGTGGATATTAGATCGACGGATGCCGAATCGAACGCAAACGAAGAACCTCTGGTTCCCTTACGCGGGTCGAATATCGTCGTGGAGAACGTCGAAATCGACTCCCTCTGTGGGATTCCGTCCCGATGTGAGTTCGATGTTTACAGTCAGCGTTTTAATCATGCTTTCAAAGCACAGTAATGTCTCCCTAACTGACGCTCAGATTGTGCACAAAAATTGGCAATTTGGGAAGAGGAGATACGATTATTTGAGCCCTGCAGCTCGTTCTTATAGTTGTTGAAAATTCGTAACTATAAAAATGAACCGCAAGGCTCGAATAATCATATCTCCTCTTCCCAAATTGTCCATTCTTATGGTATTGTACGTACAGGGTGTCTCAAAAATGTATCGCAATCTGAAAGCAGGGGATTCCTGAGGTCATTTGAAGCAACTTTTTCCTTAGCGAAAATGCAATCCGCGGCTTCGTTTACGAGTTATTAACGAAAAACAGTGACCAATCAGAGCCGTGAGTGACCAATTTGGCGCGAGACGGCCGAGCCAATGAATGGAACTCGTTGGCTGGGCCGCCGCGCGCCAGCCGAGCTCGCCTCTTATTGGTCAGTGTTTTTCGTTAATAACTCGTAAACGAAGCTTCGGAGAAAATTTTCGCGAAGGAAAAAGTTGCTTCAAATGACCTCAGGAACCTCCCATTTCCGGATTGAGAGACATTTTCGGGACACCCTGTATATAGGAATCAATGTGATTCAATGTTCCAGATTGGGCACTGAAGAATGACTCATCCGGGATGGACATAAATCTGGAACCAAGTGAAATTGAATTTTTGAACGACACTATATATCTACGATCGAACGTCTCCGTGACAAAGTTAAACGCGACTATGATGAACGATCTTAACATCGATAAATTCCTCGGCGAGTTGTTTATCATCAATAAGAATCAGAAAATTAGAGGTAGTGGAATGCAAAAGTATTTCGATAAAATATTTCCTTCGAAAATTCACATTCGATTTTTCCAGGGAATCTGCTGTATAACAATTTGTTACAAATTCACAATCTAACAACGGAGAAGCTGAACAATCGATCGATAGAGAGTTACATGACTACAAAAACTAATCAGACATTTGATCGCTTCGATATAATGTCGCTTCAGGTACATCATTTGTTCGCCGAATCGATCAATGGTGTCAAAGTGTCGGAGGCTGCAAGAATATCTCGCAAAAACGTTATCAAAGGTGTTTTGCTAGGTTTATCGACAGGTTTTATCCAGTCTAATATTTATTATCGTTTGTTATTTATAATCCATTGTCAACAGGAAAATTGACGGTCGCGAAGTTACATGTGACGAAAGAATTCGTGATGGATGGCCACTGGGATCTACCGCAAAGACAACAGGTTCAGATCTATTACAACGTGACTGTTCGAAACGATTTGAGGATAAAAACGATCGTCACGGATATGTATACGAAACTTATATTAGGTGGCAAAGAGGTGAGTCTGAACGACGTCCCGGACGGTCTCTGGACAAAATCCACCGATCAGGACATCAGGAACGACGTCATCTTCGAGAACAAAGTGACGATCGATCATTTAGTCGTCGATCGTTTGAACGGGTTCACCGAAAAGGAATTTCTGTACACTACTGCGACCGCTATCCCAGAATCGTTCGGTCATATCCGATTCGATAACGTCGTACTCGACGATCTATTTCCCGCGAAGGACGAAAACAGTCCTACGTTCGAAGAGGTTCCAGATTCCTTAACGATTCGAGACGGATTGCACCTGAGAGAGCTTCGCGGTAGCAAATTGCTGGTCGATCGTTTCAACGGCCTCCTAGTTTCCGATATATTGGACGATCAACGATCGATCAATGTCTCGAAAGCGGTGGACTTCTCTGTGATCCGAGCGAAGCAAGTCAACGTGGACCGGCTGCACTTCCGGTCCATCAACGGTCAAGACAGCGCCGAGTTCCTCGGATATAAGGAAAACGATCGAAACGAACAGACGACGAGCAGCCTAAAATCTCCAGAATTTCACGTGGAAAATCTGTTCGTCGAGAAGATTAATGGTGTCGACATGAATGATCTCGGGTCGCTACGAAATGCTACCGATTTGAAAGATCTCGTGATAGACGGTGACCTGACGGTGAAGGGTGATTTAAAGATCGATCGAATCGACGGCCAATCGCCCGAGTTGTATCTCAGAAACATGGTCAACGAAGACATCGTATTACATCTAGAAGAGACCATCGGCGAGCTGGTCGTGCAAAATGCGACGTTGAAGTCCCTGAACGGCCACAACGTGAACAGTTTCTTTGAAAGTGTTCTGTCGAGATCGAGAAAACAGATCGTGTCGGGTCGGTTCACTTTTAATAAAATGACCACCGGCAACGTCCTCACCAAGTACATCAACGATCTAGACAGCTCGAAATTACTCTGGATCGACAGGCCGCTGTTCTTCACTGGTAATGTCACGTTCGACGAACTTCTCGTAGACAATGTCACGACGAGAATTCTAAACGGCCAGGATGTCTACGAGGTATAATTCCGCGTCGCGTATCTTGTTCTATGGCGTTTACGTTGTTTGTTCTATTTTGTAAATAACTTTCATCCTTTCAGCTGTACGAAGATTTACTGAACGTGCCGGCAACCATGATCGACACCCTGTCGGTGCACGGAAACGTCTCTTGGGGTACAGCTTCGTCGAACGCAGACTCGTTAACTTACTTATTCGAAAACGCAGTTACCAAAACCACGGATCAAACTATTTACGGTGACGTAGTCTTCGACGAGGCTGTGTCGACGTTAATTGCAGAGTTAAAACGAAAGGAAGTCGACGAGATACGCGACATAGTTGCTGACGCGGTAAAAGACCACGAAAACGTTATCCGGATATCCGGGCAGAAGGTTTTCGCGATGAGTTTGATGATCAACAAGCTCTCGGTGATCGGCGATATAACGATTCCGGACATCAACAACGTCAGTGTCATCGAATTTAATAATTCCGTGGTCCGAAAAGATCAGGACGAAACGATCACCGGTACCCTAACTTTCCTCGACGAAGCATCGATCAGTGAAATATACGTGAACGACAGTGCCCACGATGTACCTTTGCGTGAGCTGGTTTGGGCGACCGATCCACTGCCTCCTAACGTACATTTTAAACATCTTTTAGTAATGGGCGACGTTTATCTGAAGAATTTAGATGGTGTCGATTTTGACGAGTTCTTGAAAGACCGAATAACCATCCACGGGGATCACGACATAGCTGCTGACGTTCAGTTCAATGGGATCGTAGAAGTGACAGGTTCGTCGAAAATATATATATACAGGGTGTTCCACAATTATTTTAACAGCCGAAAATCAGGGGTAGCTGAGGTCATTTGAAGTAACTTATTCCTTTGCGAAAATGCAATCTGCGGCCTTGTTTACGAGTTATTAACGAAAAACAGTGACCAATAAGAATCGAGTACGGCTGACGCGAGACGGCCCAGCCAATCAGCGCACGAAGCCCAGTTCCGCTCATTGGCTCGGTCGCCTCGCGCCAGCTGAGCACGCCTCTCATTGGTCACTTTTCGTTAGTAACTCGTTAATGGTGCCTCGGAGAAAATTTTTGGAAAGGAAAAAGTTGCTTCAAACGACCCGAGGAACCCGCCACTTTCGGATTGCGAGATATTTTTGGGACATCCTGTATATTGTCACAGTGCCTTAGAAAAAAGGATTTCAAGGATCTCCCAATTTGAAGCGATAGAAATCATCTTTGAAACAATGATCTCGATTTCAGGAAACGCGACGCTGTCGAAAATCAACGGGATAGATCCCGCTGACTTGGTTCTCGATGGATTGGAGGAGACGCAAGTTATATCCGGCACGAAGACCTTCGCTGAAAACCTTCTGGTCAACGGCAACGTTCGAACGTCGCTAATAAACGGCCTAAACCTGTCTACGGAGTACTCGAGCGGTGTTCTGAACGACGAGGATGCGGAGATCGTCGGGGATTTGGTGAGATCGACGCGTCGAAAATAGTTCTTACTATCGTAATCGTCTAAACGGTTCCGTGATTTCAGGTCTTCGAGTCGGAGGTCAAAGTTCCGGAAGATGTGACCGTTTCAGGATTGGTGAACGGACTGAATTTAGGCACGTTCCTCAAGGAACTGGAAGAAGACACGCAGCAGACACTCGAAACATTCGAGCGTAATACGATGGCGATACGGGACAGCATCGGATGGTCCTCGTTGATCTCCGAAAGGCTGAGGAACATTTTATCGTACATAGAATCGGAGAAGGAGTTGATGATTCAGGTGCCGAATGTTAAAGCGGTGAACGTCGTCTCTTACGAGAATGTCGTGAAGTTGAATATGTTTGGGGAGGAGGCTGGGCCTCTTTGCGGGCTACCGAGTAATTGTTCCTGTCCAACCGAACATGTAGCTGAGCTGAGGAAGGACCACTGTCGCGTGTGGAGAACGAACGGTTCGACGATAGTGCGAAACTTCCACGGGTCGCGCAGCAACTTCGGCGTAAATGTAGAAACAAATGCAGTCTCCAGTGGTTCCGAGTGCACTTCGAGTAGCAACAAAGATGAATTTACGAAGATTTCATGGATGAAACCAAGTATGATGGACACTGGAGATGTCTTGGCTCAAGTGAACGGAGCTTCCGACAGGATCCAGGGGTTTGTCAAGGACGTAACGGTCTTTATGACTGGCGACGGTGCGTGGTAGAACCAGAGAGGAAATTCCTGTTTGGTAGAATGTATAGATAAAAGTGGTATCTTCGTAGAAGAGACTGATTTCACCTCTGATCGCTTTCAGATGCAGCCTTTGTAGTCCTGGCGATCTACTACGATACATTGCGTCAGTCCCACCGAACTGATTCCTTCGTTTACATGATCGACTTCGACGGTAACTCGTTATCGCTGCACCAAAAACTGCCCACCGACGGTGCTTGGGACGTTGAAGTCTTCAGCGGGCTTCACCGTAACCTGTATCTGCTCCTAGGTTGCTTCGGGGCCTCCAAGGAGTCTTTCCTGTACAGACTGAACGGAATTACGTCTCAGGTAGAGAAGTAGTGTATTTAGTTGTTAACCGTTTGAGTCCCAGGGATTATTCAGAAAACACGGTCGAAAAAAGTCGAACAGCGTGATAGCGCTTGTCTTAATTGATTGCGAAGAGAACCAAGCGGCGCGATAGCGCTCGTCAAGATTGACAAACGAAACAAAAAGAGAAAAAAGGAAAAAAGCAGCTATGCGATGTACGTGCGTCGCTAAAGTTTGATCGTGACACCAAGATCTGAACAGCGCAATCGCGCTGCTTGGGACTCAAATGGTTAATAATATTACTAATTAATAATACTAATTAATACTACCTAATATTACTAATTAATATTACTAATTATAATATTCCTATTATTAATAATATTACTAATTGCTTAGTTCGACAGCTTGAGAACATTTAAAGGCAGGACGCGGAACGTAAAGAGCATCATACAAGAGGAGAACCAATTTGTTTTCATCGACGATTATGACACCAACGCGGTGAACGTGTATCGTTACAAATCAGAACGCGACAATTTTTACAGTTATCAGAGTCTTTTCCATGATTCGAGGATCAACGCGGTTACGTGTTTCTACGCGGATGGTGGGTATTTTGTTTACAATTATCGATTATGACTGAAGCGATCGAGTTGGATGAGACCCTGTATGCATACATATAGTATAAAAATTGTACGCTATTTATAATTAAAAAATTTAATTACAGAACCCGGTAGAAGCGATGCTTTTCTCATCGTCACGACAGAAAACGATCAATTCTATATCTACCAATACATGTTCGCACAGGTACGTTTCTATTATATTTGGTTGTTTCGCTTAGAGCATAGGTAGCATTTAAATCTGATTTTGTAATTACATAAAAAAACAATCAATTGCAGAAGTTCCGAGTGAAAGTGCAGTACCGAATGGATGGTCTACAAACGATGGTACCATTTGATTACGCAGGGATTCCTTATATATTTGCAGGCACAAGTACCAATAGCACACTACTGCGGATCGTGAAACAGGGACCCCACTAAAATTTTTAAGGTTATCCTATTATTCATCTATAGTGAATCAAAAATGGTATTTATTTATATTTTTTAAAGTTATCTATTATATATGCATGTATTATATACGTTAAACGAATGAGAATAAAGTTCTAAAATACATTTTCATTATCCAGCCCCTTGAAGCTCCTCTGCCAATCGCAATTCTGTCCCATTTTAATCTGTTTTATCAAGAAGATTTAACGGCTATTAAATATTCTGAGGCTACAGAAATGTTAAAAAAAACTCTGCTGCGTCTATATTACATAAAAAACAGTTTATTTATTTTTAAAAATATAGATGACAGATGATTTCTGCCGATATCGTCATAACGTACAATGTAAGCTTTGGTACGAATTAATTGTTATTCGAATAATTGCGGCGATAATAGTTACGAAGCTTCGGTGAAGGGAACATACAGCGCAAAAAAAAAACTGTTAGCCGAAATCGACTGTTGGAAATTTTGTTACCAGTTTCAGCGTTTTGTCGCTACGCGTAATGGCGCTGTTTTGCTAGTGTAATTGGTAGGTACCGCCATCTAGTGGAGGGAATTAAAACTAAATCGTTGAATAGTTCGAGCGTTTCGTCGCTACGGATAATGGCGTTATTTGTATAGTTTTAGGAGCAGATGATTCGTGCCGAATTTTACATTACACTTTATGATGAAAGCGGTATGAATCATCTGTATTCGATATTTACAATAATAAATTAACATTTATTGCATGTTAGATGCAAGACAGCCCTCTGAATATTTCTGTATCCTCGGAATATTCTTCAGCCGTAAATTTTCTCTGATAAAAGAGATTCAAATACTTACTTTGTTATACCATGCAAAGACAGGCAACGCTGTTTTAATTTTTGAATTTTAATTATTGTAAACCAATTGCATATTAAATTTTATAGCAAAAATTTAACTACAACCTCTTTTATCAGCATCCTCTAATATTTTTTTAATTTGTTATTTTTAATCAGTACACTCCAGTGTTTGAAATTATGGAATATTTATTCTCCAGATCCAATTTAGGTCTTATCAGAAAGATTAGAGATGACTTATCTCGGGGAAGAATTAAATAACTCTATCTTGTATTGAAACGAGGCTCTTATCTTGTTTAAAGAATAATGAACTTTACATTTTATCCGTTGTTTAACATCTATTATCTAGGGGGAAAATGAAATCAGTCCTTGATATCCGACTACGTCTCATCTCGTTGTGCACAGGTTCGCGAATCTTGAAAATCGCATTTGCATATCGCAACAGAGTGGCTTCGATCAGAACCAGTTTCCGATCGAAGGAACTAAAAAACGAAGATTAGAAAAGCATCGTGTGTGCTTTTCAAGGTGAAGTACACGGTCCCAAAAATGTTTCAGAAACATCGAAACAGACGATGACCCGAATCCGACGACCATCTTCGTGTCCTAAAAATGATACCGTACATTTGATCATCCTCTTACAAAATTGACCACAAAATCGGAAATTTTTCATTAGAATTTCAAGTATCTCAGAACGGTTCTTACAAAGTGGCAATCATTCACCTTTTCATAAGAATGTTCCAAAAATATTTTCAGAATGCTGAGACAGTCCAATCACCTGAGATCAAACATTCGAAATATTTTGCAAACGAATATTGTTTGAAACGTTAGAAATATCTTTCTCAGAGAACTATATAATACAACGATGTCTCAAGTACAGAAAAAAGGAAAAATGTGTATCAATTTTTTTGTTATTTGTATAATCGAATTATTTGTCCGCGTCTTCGTGAGTTAGGCGCGCCGTTTGGCGCCGACAATATGGCCGCCAAAAATTGACCTTCGTAGGCCCCAAGTTCTATTCGCGTTAAATTTGGTAATTTGTCTATTACCATATTAATTTTGAATGTTTCATGATAGATTATGCAAACAAAAATTTTAAGAATGAATAAAAGATCGAATAAAAGTTTCAGTCCTTTTTTCAAAGAAAAATTTGGTTTATTGCATAATTTAACAATGTATTAATTTGTGCGATTACTTCTACTAAAATTGAGAAAATATTATAATATATATTATAAATATTATTATTATTATATTATTATACATATTATTATATTATATATTATATTAATAATAATTAATAATAATAATATTATAATTATAATATTATAATATTGATATTACAATATTATAATATTATAACTCAACTTCCGCACGCAATGGCGCGAATGGAAACTTTAGTTCGCTTGTACCAATCGCTGTCGCGCTTGTTCGAATTGCTTTCGTAGCTATCGCGGATACCCATTGCTACCATATTGCCAGCGAAAGCCGCTTTTGGAGTCTTCGTGTCATAGTAGTGGGGAGATGCGATTACGTGTGCCTCGTGTGTGGATCAACATCCCACGGAGCGCCGCGGCTCGCGTTGGCAGAGCTCAGTACGGGACGTGGTGCTCGTGAAACCATGAAATTCGTCGTGCTTTTCGCGTTCCTCTTCGGCACGATCGCCGGCAATAACGACACTCTGATCAACGAGATCGGGATCGACGAACCGAACGATCCAACGACACTGCCGGAGCTGGATCCGCCGATGACGGAAAGAACGTTGCACGAGATCTATCGCGATGCAGTAGGAGCTTATCTCGACGAGGATTGGGATCGCTGTATCGAGGACTTCAATGAAGTCTCGCACGGGTATGGACTTTACATTCGAATTAATGACCGGTCAAGTCAAACGAAATCCTGGAGCGAGTGCGAACATTTTAGTGTCTCTATAAATTCAATAAATCGCTGTGTCTTACCGAATGTAATTTCGTTTTGTCTCGTATATACATATATACAGACGTATTGTTTTTGTTTTGTTTTGGTTATTGGATTTCGTATATGCATATCTAATATAAAGGATTATACCAAATACTAATGCAAATCATTTAATGCAATCGATCTTTTGTATTAGATAGAGTTCTATTTATGATAGAGTAATAAATTAATAAAAGTAAGAAAGAGGAACTATTTGTAGGATCTTCGGAGAAAGAAGGAACCGCTACGATATACGAGTGCTAAAGAAATTATTTTCTGTCCTGTGAACTAAGTGGCAACAAGTGTTCTGTTTTTTCAAATTTGAAATTCAGATTCGTAATCAGAACTTCCGAAGATATAGATACACCAATTGTGGTGGAAATCAAATCATTTTTTCAACAAACCATGCGCCGTATTGGATACGCCATTTTGTTTTCTCAAATTTGAAATTCAGATTCGTAATCAGAACTTCCGAAAATATAGATACACCAATTGTTGTGGAAATCAAATCATTTTTTTAATAATCCATTCACCATATTGGATCCGCCATTTTGTTTTTTGAATTTTCAGGGTCAGATTCGTAATCAGCGACCATGAAAACCCTTAAATACAAATTTTCAATTAACTCCGTCACTGTTTTCAATATTGACCATAATTTCGGGATTTTTTCAAGGTCATCGTAACCGATCGACTTCCGTAATCACCCATGGAACCCCATCACTTTCCCAATCTCCATACGTGTTGTTCTTAAGTGATTTTGATCCTCGCATCTGTTTGAAGTAGTCCAAACAGTCGATCGTTGTCTATTCCTTTTTATAGGAATGATGGAATAAGATGAAAGAGGAGAGAATGTCCAAGACGCTTGGAGACGACATGCTCCAAAAATAAGTTCAGGATACAGTAAACAGACTGCGGTCGTGGAGTTCTACTTCCGGAGTACAGTAAGTTCTCCCTAATTGACGCTCAATTTGGGAACAAAAATGGAAAATTTTTGGAAGAGAAGGTACGATTATTCGAGTCTTGCACCTCGTTTTTATAATTGTTGACAATTCGTAACTATAAAAACGAACCGCAAGGCTCGAATAATCGCGTCTCCTCTTCCCAAATTGTACATTTTCGAGGACAATCTGAGCGTCAATTAGAGAGACATCATTGTACTTTGAATCTCTATAATGTGTGTGTGTGTGTGTGTGTGTGTGTGTGACGCACACCACTTGCACCTCGTTTTTATAATTGTTGACAATCGGCAACCATACAAACGAGCCGCAAAGCGCAAATAATCGTATCTTTTCTACCGAAATTGTCCATTCTTGTGTACAATCTGAACGTCAATGAGGGAGAATTTATTGTATCTCTTTTGAAAATATTGGAGACAAAGTTTTCATTCATACGGAGCACCTCAACCCTTCTGAAAAGTGTTTTACCATTTTGCGAATCAACCTTTGGTCATTTTTGTCAAATATTTATTACGAATATTATAATATTAATATATTATTATTAATATATATTAATATATATTTATTATATTATAATATTAATATATAATAATATTAATATTATATATATTATAATATATATATAACCGAGATCCAGAACCAAAAATTACAATTATACGTAGAATCGATATAATATCGGTTCTTAACGATTCCACGACCGCGCTAGAAAGCTCAAAAATTTTCATAAAATTAAAATATTTCATTCGATTAAACCAAAATTACGAAGCAAACTTATATGGCATCGACTACTTCTTCAGCATTCGTACCTCTTGCAAATCTTAATAAAATTAAGCAATCATTTTGAATTTTTCATTAATCGTCCATTCGATCGTCAACCGACTGAATTTAAAACGGGGAGATCTCCCCGTTCGGTTGGCTAAGTGTTAAAAACTGAAACCGACATAAATCAGAACCGATAATTGTTTATACCTCATAACTGTTTTCGGTTCTCCATAATTGTTTCAGTCAGAACCGATATACATATAACTGTTTGAAACAGTTATTTTCGGAACCTTTTCAATCTCTCTCATATATGTACTGAACAGGTCCTACGCCGTTTCCGGTACGGACACTCTAGAGTCCATTGAATAGAAATCAAGTGCTGTACAGGTTTGGTAGGTTTTGCCCTTAAGGTTTATTGGCGTAATCGCGCGAATGGCGCAAGGGTTTTTATTGTTTTTATCGGGATATTCGAGATTCGCATAGAAGACATAGTCTACTTCCGGTACATAAACGAGTGCTTCCAGATACAAAGTGTACAAGCGCGTGGTGGTCAACTGCAGGCAAAAGTGCAGGACAAAAGCCGCCCGCGAGGTACCGATCTTTCCCGAGGACCTCGAGGACCTGCATTTCTACGAGAAGAAGATAGTGGAGACATTGTGTCTTCTGACCTGCAATCAGGAGTACATGGAGATCGCCGGTAACAAGGCGCTGAAGACGTTGCCGCGTGAAACCGAGACCAAACTGGCCAACTACCACGTCTACGAATACTTGCACAACTGCTACTACAAGGTAACAATTGTTCATGCGACATTTTATAGTTTAAAGAGAGCGCAGAGATTTTTTACGCAGACGAGATTAAGTGGTCGACGCTCGTGAACGGAATGTACAGCCTTCGGTCGAGAAGACAGGACAAGCAAATTCGATGTTTTTCGTGGTTCCAATTACGGTAAATTCTCCCTAATTGACGCTCAGCTTGGAAACAAAAATGGACAATTTGGGAAGAGAATAATTAAACGATTGATCGAGCTTTGCTGCACGTTTCTATAGTTGTTGATAATCGGTAACAATAAAAACGAGCCGCTAGGCTCGAATAATCGTATCTCCTCTTCTCAAATTGTCCATATTTATTTCCAAGCTGAGCGTCAATTGGGGGGAACTCACTGTACGTTGCACAAATAATGAAAATTTAGAGCTTTCCTAACGGAACGCAGTTACGATCTCAGAAACGGAAAATTAACAAATCTGAAATGACTGCGAATTTGTAGTTAAACAAAATTAAGACCACTTTTATTAAGACCACGCATTTATCGTTGCGGAACGATCGCAGGATCGTCGCGACGCGAATTTGTCATAGTACAATGAATGCCCAAGAGAATCCTAACCGCGAAGCTTACGCAATTGCAGCTTCTTCTCCGATCCCACGCCCGCAACTTTTTAGTAAATAATGAGTTTAACGTTTCGAACGAGCGCGGGTCGGCCATAAAACTCGGCCTACATCATCGGCAGGCTGGTGAATCGATGCTGGAACCAGTTGCACGCGTTACGATCCAGTCGTAAAAACTCTATTGGTTCAACATGGGCTTCGAACACCGTGAATCACGGCGACTATATATCCATATCTTCTTCGACAGCTTGCTACCGGGTTTGGAGCAACATTTGATTTACAGTAAAGTTGACGCCTAATTGACGCTCAGATTGTGCACAAAACTGGACAATCCGGGAAGAGGAGATACGATTATTCGAGCTCTTGCGGTTAGTTTTTATAGTTACTGATCATCAACAATTATAGAAACGAACTGCATGGCTCGAATAATCGTATCTCCTCTTTCCAAATTGTCCATTTTTGTGCACAATTTGAGCGTCAATTAGGGAGACATTACTGTACTTGCGTTCTCTAGAAACTATTGCATATTTTACAGAGGCGAATTTAGGTATCAGCTGAGTAGGTTATAGCCTAAGTCTTCGATTTTTGAGGAAAATTCCGCTTTCGATTTTTCTATGCACGGTAAAAGATCATATACGATCTCAAACAGTTTTAATACTCATTTTTATAATATTCTAAAATATTAATCGTTTGGCGAAGATCGACGCCTTGTTAGGAGGCAAGCGAATTTAAATAACGAATAATTGTATGTTCATTCATTTTAGCATTTTATAATAATGAAAATATAATAATATAATAATAATCAAAAACGATATAATCAAATGATTATTGCAGAGCGGCAAAAATGTGTCAGCCTAGAGCGGCAAGAATCTAAATCTGCCTGTAATATCTTGCGCAAAAATGCGCAGAAAATGCAATAAATTCTCCCTAATTTTCCATCATCTTGTAAAGAAAAATGGACAATTTGGGAAGAGGAGAGCCTTGCCTCTCGTTCTTATAATTGTTGGCAATCGGCATCTATAAAAATTCGTGCCGCGAGGCTCGAATAATCGTATCTCTCTTCCGAAATTGTCCATTTTCGTTTACATGTTGAAGGAAAATTGGGGAGAATTTATTGTACTAACAATACTACTGACTCCAGTTATTTCATTTGCTGAAATGCTACGGATATACAAATTTCGCGCTCGCTGTCACCGTTTGTTTCACTATTTAATTGCTGAAACAATTTATTGTACGCAACGAAGCAGAATTATGACTTCCCCGGATATTATGCCGCGCATTACGATTTTACGACGACACATAATAACACGAATTTGTTTATTCTTAATAGAACTACGAGCTCGTCGGCGTCGCGCCTAATTAACGCGGTCCAAACAAGACGGTTTAAACGAGCTTAAATAGAGGCTGCAGATCGATTCGCCTGTTGCCAATACTAATTCGAAATAATTGATAAAAATGGTGTCCGACAAGTGATTTCTCGGTCCACCCCGTTCGTCTTAATTAGCCGGCTTCGCCTTCGGCGAAGAGAACGAAGGCGGACAGCTTCTAAAGCCGTGTGCACGATCGATCTTTGCAGAGGGAACGCTACCAGGACGCTACGAACGCGGTTTTCACGTATTTGGTCCGGCATCCGAAGCACGAAATAAGCGTGAAAGTTTTGAAACACTATCTAACGCTTCCCGGCGTGGAAGCGCAGAACGTCGTAAACCTAGAAGCAGCGCCTTATGTCAGCATATACTTCAAGGGAGTGTTGGCTTACGAGAAGGAAAACTACGCAGAAGCGGCGGTCCTCTTCGAGAATTCTTTGGCGTCCTATTTGCAGGCCGAGGAGGAGTGCAGGTTCTACTGCGAGGGGCCGTTCGATCAGGGATGGCACCCGGAGTTCACGTCCTCCATCGCCAGTAAGTGGAACTCGATCGGGGAAATAAATTTTCCCTTCCAGTGGGCCCGAAAATTGATCCGGGACATGGTTACCGATTTGCTATCACTTCGATCGATCTAGTCAAGCGATGGATCTTATTCAAATTTGCAATAACCGCGCGCATCCTCGAACTATAAAGTGGCAATCTTCCTAATAATTTTAACCCTTAGCGCTCCGTTGGCTTCGCTATGGAGACATCCGTCATTCGTTCCGTAAATCCGAAGGCTCTGCTGCGGAGCCCAATATTTTTAGCATGATTACACCGAAGATGCTATGTTTTCGTCGACGTTGGCAATTGTTATTTATAGCGAAAACGTGCTTAGCGTGTGTACCATTACGATTAAAACATTTTTTGCCCATTTTTATACTTGGCAACATAAAATGAATAAAATCGAACGCTTTCGCAAGGACGCGTAATCTTTTCCGCTCGAAATAAGGCTTCCTTCGTCTCAGGCGAGTTGCTCCAAAAATGTGCCGGAGTTGCTGGTAGTGATATTTTTCATAAAAACGCTGTTCAACTTTATTTTAGAACGTCCAAAGAATATTTACTAATTTTTAATTTAATTTAATTATCGATCGAGCCGATTCCAGTGAAGATTAACAATATAAAAATTTCGGCAAACTCGCGCAAAAGATATTTTTGTTTCAATAATTCTGTATCCAAACAGAATTCAACGGACGATTCGCAATGCTAATTTTATAATAGATCGCGTCAAAGAACACGAGAGATATATTTAAGAATCGTGAAGAATATCGTTAATAGTAAATTTACCCATTTCGATGAGGATGCATTTGCTGCTTGGAAATTTCGTTCACGATTCACGATGTCGATGCACCGACCTCGCGCAATGTTAAGTAGATACCATTACGATTAAAACATTTTTTGACCATTTTTATACTTAGCAACATAAAATGAATAAAATCGAACGCTTTCACAAGGACGCGTAATCTTTTCCGCTCGAAATAAGACTTCCTTCATCCCAGGCGCTTTGCTCCAAAAATGTGCCGGAGTTGCTGGTAGGTAGTACTTGAGAAATGCGTGGAGCGCTAAGGGCTAATAAATAATTCTAAGCGTATACAGTAATGTCTCTCTAATTGACGCTCAGATTGTTCACAGAAATAGACAATTTGGGAAGAGGAGATATGATTATTCGAGCCTTGCGACTCGTTTTTATAGTTACCGATTTTCAACAATTATAAAAACGAGCCGCACGGCTCGAATAATCGTATCTCCTCATCCCAAATTGTCCATGTGTGTGCACAATCTGAGCGTCATTTAGGGAGACATTACTGTACTACTCCTTGCAGAAAATATTCGATCAAAATCGAGGCCATAGTTATCGAACGAACCATTTTAAAGAAATTAGGCGAGCTTGTCTACTTATTAAATACAAGATAATAGAAAGTTATGAAGACGATAGCATAACAACAAAGCATTGGAACACCGAGGTAGTTGTCTAACTTTTTCAGCGATCGCATGGAATTGCGTTACGAGAATTATTTTATAGCATGAATCAACGAAAAACTTTTCCATCTATCTTTCGGTTTAAAAGCTTTTTTCTCGTCTTTCAGATCATTTCACCTTCTGCCTAAAGTGCAAGCAGACCTGCCACCAGAGGCTGAACAACGTAAACGGCGACTACCGGGGCGACATGCTCAGGAGCCACTACAATTACCTACAATTCTCCTATTACAAACGTAAGTGCACCGCGGCCCTGGAAACAACGTTGCTCAATTTTTATCTACGCCACATATCCTGCTCGTGTCTATTTCTGAAAATTGTTATCGACGTTGGTCCATTCGCCACGATAAACCGAATAGACTCGAAACGTGTAGCCGGCGATAACGAGCTCCCGATGCGATGTCCACCAGTTATATGAAATTGCGTGACCTTGCAGTCCATCGTAGTCCTCGGCGGCAAACGAATCGTTTCGCCGACAATCGTCCGAAGCTCCTCAGGAAGCTGTTACTCATGCCCCAAAGGAGGTTTAATTGGATTAATCTCGTCCGACGAGTCCGACTGATTGGTCGAGAGCAGCCTCGTTATCCGTGGTACGGTCTCAGACCTCGTCATCGCCGGCCGCCAGTTATCCCGATAATGTTTTCTGGTGACCTAATCCCGTTAGCAGCTGGTCGAAATTATTGTTGCTAATTGGACCAGTGTCAAAATACATACAACGCGCGATCCGTTGCGTCACAGACTTACAAAGTTGAAATCGTTTCGCACGCAGTGGGAATCTTGAAGGGTGCCTGCGCCGCCGTGGAATCCTACTTGCTGTTCGACCCCTCCGACGAGACCATGCTGCAGAACAAGATGTACTATAGCGCCGAGGCCATGGAACATTTCTTCCGGCCCAGAGAGGTGACATTTTCGAAAATCAATGTCCGAGAATTTCCGGGCTCTTTCGCGGTCTTTAATTGGGAGTTTGGGAGTGTCGCAAGAAACGCACAGTTATTATTGAATTATTGCCACGGAAAGTTTAACAACTACTGCTGAAATTCTTACAAATATTTAGTCAAATTTCTTTGTTGGCGGGCTGAACATTTTTAAGCTTAGAAGCGATTCTACAGACTATTTTATACTAAGTACAGTAATGTCTCCCTAATTGACGCTCAGATTGACTACAAAAATGGACAATTTGGGAAGAGGATATACGATTATTCGATTAAACCTTGCGGCTTATTTTTACAGTTATAAATTGTCCACAATTATAAAAACGAGCCGCAAGGCTCGAATAATCGTATCTCCTCTTCCCGAATTATCCATTTTAGTGGACAATCCGAGCGTCAATTAGAGAGACATTACTCTACAATAAATTCTCCGTAATTGACACTTAGATTGTGCAGAAGATTGGACAATTTGGGAAGAGGAGATACAATTATTCGATTAAACCTTGCGGTTTATTTTTACAGTTATAAATTGTCCACAATTATAAAAACGAGCCGCAAGGCTCGAATAATCGTATCTCCTCTTCCCGAATTATCCATTTTAGTGGACAATCCGAGCGTTAATTAGAGAGACATTACTCTACAATAAATTCTCCGTAATTGACACTTAAATTGTGCAGAAGATTGGACAATTTGGGAAGAGGATATACGATTATTCGATTAAACCTTACGGTTTATTTTTACAGTTACAAATTGTCGACAATTATAAAAATTAGCCGCAAGGCTCGAATAATCGTATCTCCTCTTCCCGAATTATCCATTTTAGTGGACAATCTGAGCGTCAGTAAGGGAGACATTACTGTAGTTTGAAGGGACGTTCGAATACTCCCAAGAAGATCAACTGCCGCTTCGATCGTTCGACGAATTAATAGTTAATTAAACCTCGATTGGTCCTATTTTGGCAGGAAGCCGTGATCTACACGAAGAGGCACGAGTACGAGCTGCGTTTGTTGAAGTTCATTTCCGACGAGTTTTCGGTGGTCGACAGGAAATTCGCGGAGATGAAGAAGGGGCGACAGGCCGAGAAAGAGAAAACCGTGGTGCAGCCAGGAAAGGTAAAGAATGGAGAATGAAGCTCGAACCAAACTCTAAACGTTCCGCGAATCTATATATCTGCCATTTTATTCCGTTTCTGTACGCAAAACTTCGCGCTGCCATGTTTTAGGGAGATCTTTTTTTCTCGACTCTCTGTACATTTTACATACAAATAAAATACTCAAACACGAACGCTATCCTATTGTTCTATTCTATGCTCGAGTCTGATCTCTGTGTCTGTTCCATGAACGTACCGCCGCCGCTGGATTTCACGGCGGAACGCCTTCGGAATGCAACCGAGGATACATCCGTATAATCCTAGCAGAGGAATTCAGGCGCGAAATAAATTATTGTCTTTAAAAGTTAACGTTTTCCGCTGTAATGTTATCGTTGATCTTGTTGTGGTATTACAAAGGACCGTTTCAAATTTTATCACACGGAGAGAAACGTGTGAAAATAGGAGAATACATCCGTATAATCCTAGCAGAGGAATTCGGCCGCGAAATAAATTATTCTCTTTAAAAGTTAACGTTTTCCACTGTAATGTTATCGTTGATCTTGTCGTGGTATTACAAAAGACTGTATCAAATTTTGTCACACGCAGAGAAATGTGAAAATTTTAAATATTGTTTGATCTATTTGCAGAAGATCGATGAAATCGAAGCTCTGCATCCACCGCCCGGTTACTCGTCTTTTTCTAACGCGTTGTTGTTCAACAATCTTTCCGCAATTCGAGACGAGAAACACGAGATACGCGATAGGAAGCCACAAAGGGTCAGGGACGATGTCTATCTGATCGCGGAAGAGAATGAACTTGGCGGGAAGAATCGTTATGTGGCGGACGGATTCCTCAACTCGACGGAGTGCGAGCTCCTAATGCGATTGGCTTCGGTACACTCCCTAATAAATTAGCTGTTTCAGCAATTTCATTTCATGGCATGGAGTCAGGAGTTATCAAAGAGTTATCGACGTCAAAGATTCACGAAATGAAAATGATCAATACTTGAACAGACACAACTTTTTCAGCAGAATCTGAGAACAATTACAGTAAATTCTCCGTAATTGACAGAAATGGTCAATTTGGGAAGAAGAGATACGATTATTCGAGCCTTGCGGCTCATTTTTATATAAAATATTTAGATTATATAGAATAATCGTATTTCCTCTTCCCAAATTGTTCATTTTTGTGTACAATCTGAGCGTCGATTAGAGAGAAATTACTGTACCTGGACTCATTTTAACTCTCGGAAAAGACGGTACCTAGATAGATTTCTTGACTTTTTGAATATTGCGATAATCTTTGTCTATCAAATCTTGCCATGATCTCGACCTTTGAATAGTCTCCAAAAATTGTACAGAGCTTAGTACTTCTAACCGCAGTCACTCATCCATCCGGTGAACATTTTAAAAAATATCTGCGTTCTAGAAATCATATCATAGACATAAAAATTAGCGTTAATCTATCTAATTGATGCAGATGACTGCAGTGGAAGGCGATGGTTACAACGAGTACAAGAGTCCACACTCGAAACACGAGCGATTCGAGGGAATCACCGTCGGCAGAATCGCCTTGGTAAGAGTTTTACAGTTTCTCGTGCCTCGGACTCTGTTATTTTAGTTGATTACCGTGCAATAATGATTATAGATGGTGTACCTGGGACAAATAGCGGCGGAAAAATTGCGGCAGCTTTTAGAAGCAACTGAAGAGGCTCGTAGCCACGTGGAAAGGTATTTCGGGCTTGATCAACCGCTCTATGTTACGTACACCCACCTGGTCTGCCGCACGGCTCTATCTGGTAATTTTCGCCTGATCCATCAACGTGATTCTGGTCCCTTTCGCAGCTGAAACCGCGTCGCGCCTACTCACTTGGTATGGAAAGTGGGTAACAACCGGTGACAATTCGCATTTTTAAAAGCTGCGCCACAGGTGATGCGATTTTGACGACCCTGGAATCAAAATGACATTTACAGAGAAACCAAAGAAATATTACAAAATTGGTAACTAATTGTCTGAACATGAAAGATAGCTTAGGCATTGGGAAATTAGATCGTTCAAATTCGCATCACAAGTGGAACAGCCTATTGGTAAAGTCACTCACCATCTCAGAATCTCTCTTTGTCGACCTAAAATTACAACTGTTCAATGCATCAATGTATTTCGATATCATTTGAATAATTTCTAGGTTCACCAATGGATCGTAATGACCTTAGCCATCAGGTTCACGCGGACAACTGTCTGTTGAACGATCAGAATGACTGCATCCACGAGAGTCCAGCCTACACCTGGAGAGACTATTCGGCGATCCTTTACTTGAACGAAGATTTCCAGGGTGGAGAGTTCTTCTTCGCGAAGGAACGCGCGATTCACGAATCGAGCAGCTTGATTTTTCCGAAATGCGGACGCATGGTGGCTTTTTCGGCCGGTGGGGAAAATCTTCATGGTGTGAAGGGTGTTCGTCGAGGTAGGCGATGTGCCTTGGCCCTGTGGTTTACGCAGGATGAGAATTACAGGGAGTACGAGGGGACCTTGGCCGAGGCGATCCTGCAACGGGTACTTTTGGTCGGACCTGTGGAGGAAAAGGATGTCAAGGTGCCTTTGAGGTACAGTAAATCGTTGAAAGTCTTGATTCGAAAGATTTATCTACCAACGTTTATCCAGAAGAGAATTTAATTACTAGGTACGAGGACCTTCTTCTCCAGTATGCAAACAGCGACGACTTCTTGAAGGACTTCCTGAGGAATTCTCCCTGAAGTGGACAAATCGTCGGAGGCTATCTTCAGTATTCAAACTGTTTCAGAGACGTCGACGCTTTACCTACCAGAAACCTCTTAATTCTTTTAAACAACAATAGTCAAAGTTAAATTATCGGAGCATACTATTTGGGCTAATTTGTTGGTTCCCAAATGAAGTTGCCGGTAGATAACGCGTTAGGAAAGTTACTATTACAAAGAGTAATATATTTTCTCCGGTCAATGACTGGACCTTACTGCAAACTAGGTACCTGAGAAGAAAAGCATACGAAATCGCTTACTGTACTTAGCACAGTTTTTGCCTTTTTCCTATACAATGTTTCATTGCATTTACATACTTGAAAGTTGTAAACTTTCGAGCCATAATTAATTGCAGAGATTCGTGCCTTTATAATAATTAGGGTATGGTGCGTCGGATAAATGCGCAGGATGCTCGTGGTGGCTCGTCGAACCACTGTTATTTATATAAAATATCCTAATCTTTATTAGAACATAGACATTACATGTCAACAGGTTTACATAACCATCCTATGTATCGTGTAACATGTATACTGTAATTAATTTATTCTCCTCGGCGTATTTATACTATGTATAAGAGTCATATATATATACATATATATGTATACATATACAGGGCGTTCGATTTTAATTTATAAATGCGAATTACTGGTAAACTACATGTTCTATTAAAAATGCTTCAAGTGAATGATTTCTCACTATGCTTAGTACAATTTTATAGATTCCATTTGAGGAAACGTGTCATCTTTGCGAGACCTCTACAATGTTTACTTACATAGCTAATTAAGTTACAAAGTTAATTACCATTTTCTATCTGAACCATTTTTTACATAGCCGGTAATTAATCGGTAATTCGCACTTACAAATTAAAATCGGAGACCCTGTGTATATTATACGTGTGATGTCTCCTGTAGCGTGTCGGTTCCTCGTCGTTATTGCAATTGTACACGCGAAAAGCGGATCGCATAAATTGCTCCCTATGTCGGCGTACCACCGGCATAAGGATCGAGAACGTATTCCCCTAATCGTTAAATTTAAAACCACGGTTTTTTTAGTCATCGAGGAGTGCCATTTTCTCGCGTCGTGATCATCGCGGGATCAGTCGGGAAGAAAAGTGTACGCGACCCATTAACTTTATTTATGTTTCGTTACAAACATTTATTACGAAATTATAGTGACATCTGCGTATCACAGGAGAGCTCAGTCGATTTTTTTCTGCCAGGAACCACCCCATGTTAGTCGTATCGTTATACATATTTATCTATATTTATATAAATCACAATATAAATATAAATAAATATATACATATATATCCGCATGTGCTACCGCTCATCAATATCCGGACATCCAGCAAAACTTGTTATAAAGGTGTCTAATTTTAAACCAGTTCATGACTGATTTTGCCTTGAATTAATTAAATTAGTATAAATGTCGAACTAGTAGATAAATTTAACTACCTACAAGAATTTGACCAACATCGTTAATAAATTTTGCTTGTACGGTTCAGTGACAATGTATAAATCAATACAATAATACTCAATAGAGAGACAAACTAATGTTTTAGCGATATCGACAATGTCCGGATAGTTCTAGACGGCAGCGTACAGGTCCGTTTGCCACTCCGTTACCTTCTATCAACGACGGATCTCGTTCTTTGCTCCGAGATATGATCGATCAACGATATCGCGAATAAAAATTCAATCGAGCTAGCTTGCTACACAAAGAAACGAAACGCGCGTCTAAACCGCTAAACGGTTTTCCGTTGATCGTGTAAATTGAAACAACAACTGGCAACGTCGAGTGGAGAATGAATTCCGTGGATCATCTTTCTATCAGCGTTTTCGGATGACCGGTTTTTTCGTTTAATATTGCTCTTCGTAGACCTTCGGATTTCGTTTTCGTTCTCTTGTCGAGAAACAATGTAGTTTAGAACAACAGCGAAGCGGGAGAATGTAAAGTTCCGTAAAATATACAGCAGTGGACGCAGAACGGTGAACGACAATGGTTGTGTTACCTTAAAAATGGTAAAATGATTATGTTACAGGCTCGTGTTTCGCACGAGATACACCGCGGCAGATTCATGTTACTTTGTTGTACGGCCAACCGAAATCGTTAGCACTCCTAGGTTCGTTAGAATTAAGAAGCATAATGCACTTTTAGAGCCAGGTAAACGAGTACCTCGCAACAAGTACCGCATGTACTCGTGTACAGATCGAGGATGGAAACATCGTGTGTGTGTGCTCGCCGAGAGAAAACTTTCTAGAACAAGAAACAAATGATGTGTAACAATAAAATTGTTCGTAAAACCCTTACACGAGAAGTCGCAAATATTTTTATTAAAATACTGATGGACAATTCTGAGGCACAATCTCGAATGTGATCGAAATTAAACGACGCTTCATTTTTTTGGAAACAACTTGTCTTTTTTTGTTTTTAGAATGAAAATGATAAATGAATCACAGATCGAACTATGCACGAATATGTACGGTGCGTTCGTTAACTTGTTGCCCATTACACTACATCTGCGCTGAAGGAAGCATCATATGTGCTGGACTATCATATAATAATAATAATAATAATAATAACAGTAATAATAATAATCATCGAGTTTCGTTCTTCAGACTTATTCTTATAGAGTTATTACTTCGCCTTATATACACATATACATATACACGCACGAGTCGGTATGTATGCACATGTAATTTGAACGAAATGGCCTGATTCTAGCGTTCGATTCATAGACAGTTGCAATTACAGACGGAGAATATTATGAACGTATAACAGTGGCAGAAAAGAAACTCAATGGCGAGATGATCTTAATTCCTGTGTTCGAAGAATGGGCTTTTCAGAAGACTGGGTCAACATCCTTTGAAATTTCAGTAGAATTGTTAAATGGTGAGCCCGAGCGCGAACGGCTCCGGGGAAAAAGTTACTCTACGTTTTTTTTTTAAGTGTACCGAGAAATACTGGATAGATTCGCGACCATGAAACAGACGAACCGATCGCCGAAATCGAGCGACGATTAGAAGACTTCGCGATGCTATAGATAGCGATCCTAACAGCTTTGATCGTTGCAACACTAAAGCGTTCACGCTTCCCGCGGGACAGCGTAGCTTTCTCCTCTCGTCGAAGAACAATTTTGCCGCCGTTGAATTCGTCTCCGCATCTAATTCTTTAACTATGACTTTCCAATTTCGGAGCGAAGCGGAATCTACGCGTTTTATGTTACAATCGGTATACGCAAAGACCGCTGCTTAACGTGATCTATCAACGAATTAATCGCGAAACGTTTTATGCTTTGTTCGATAATCAATTTCTGCACACGCTCTCGCACGTCTATACACATAGAGGACCGGCTGACCTCGTGTAAAATATAAATGCTAAATTTACAGAGAAGTAATCGAAATTGGCGTGTACAGATCTTTCATGGTTCTCTTTCTCTTAACGATACTAATACGGTAGCTATATTAAAGTAACACAATGTATAACAATAGATTTAAGACGTTGTACTGTTTGATGGTTTCTTTCAGATAGATAGATAGATAGATAGAGAGAGAGAGTTAGAAAATGAGAGAGACAGAAAGAAAGAGAGTCCATCCATCTCCATCTTTCTTTACTTAATTTCTTCGTTTTCTTGTTCACGTAAAAAAAGGCGTAACGTATTTTGATTATTATAGACACAATAATATGGCGAGAGTATACCGTGGCGAAAATTATGCTGGACACCAAAGGCTCTATGCGAACAGCCGACCTTGCTCCCCGACGGTTCCACCCCCAGAACGAATCCGACCGTCATCCTCCTCGGTATGAACCTCGTTATACAAACGTTTACTAAAAATAGTACAATCTAATCGAGGACATATTATAGAAAATTGAAAAATATACAAGATATAAAACACATATCATGAACGCCGTTTTCATTCAGGTAGCGAGTGACTTGTTAAAGTCCGACTGCGTTTTCGAGTATCTCCGTTTGAGTTTTCTGAATCACGACTCTAAATCGTGAATTCATGGCTCCTCAACGGCCGAAGGATCCGATAGGATCTATCTGGATTCTTCGGCCATTTATTCACACGAAATTCATTCGAATCAACATTCTACTAGCTCTATTCAACGTCCGCGGATTTTGTACAATTTGCCTAGTAGACCGCAATCCAAATCGTGTCGCACATCGTTCTTTGGTATCCAACAGGCTTTCCCACGACGTTCTCGTGTTCGAACGGACATTAGTCGCAGTATGGGCAGTGAATGAACAAACATGTACCAATATTAAATGGGCTGACTCTCCCACTGAGGCGCCCATTCTGGAAGTCGTCAATCTACGTTCGATGGGGGCGCGGCGTATCTGGTTCTTGGGTCGGAATCTCCATCGCATATGTACTTCCCTAAAATAAAATACATGTCGGGCGTTTCTTGTTTTCAGTTAAGAATGTAAAATGACACTTACCGGAAACGAATCTGCGCTTGACTAAACTTAATCTATAGCCCGGGCCCAAAAGTTCGAACTCAACGCCGGACAATGTGGTCCCTTCGCAATTGAACTGAGTGAATATCGTTCCTTGGTTCCCCGGACCGTCTTCGAGTTCGACCCTCGCCTTCAAGGAGCCCACGCCGTGACCCTCGCTATACTGAGATAGCTCGGTAAACTTCCACAGTACTCTGTTCGTCTCTGGCAGCCATTGAGCTTGGGGCTTGCTGTTCAAGGATTTGAATTCTCCGTCTATGGGCGCTGCCACGTGGAGATTTAGTAGAGGACTCGGTGAAGCCATAGCACGGCTGTTGTATTTGTAGTCGATCTACCGAACACATAGTTTGTTAGATAACAAAATAAAAAATAGACCCGTAGAGGTGTCGGTAAATACCTTGAGATCTGTGTGCGTCGTCTCGCACTTCCAGTATGCTACCAACTGGAAAGGACATGAGCCCGCGCCTTCCTTGCATTTTATTTGATACTTGAGTATGTCAACGTTAAAATAGGAAGCCGAGGGATTTTGTTCAGCCTGTTTACGTAACAATGTAGTTAAGGCACTCATGTTGAATTCGAAAATTGTACTGTCGACGGTCGTCTGCGTGGCGTCCCTGCAACAGATTGAGAACGGTTTAGAGACTCAGCTTGGAACGAGCTACTTCCGCGGTAATTATCGAGCCGATCTGTGAGCAACGCGGCTCCCTCTTTGTCTGAATAGATGGAGTACAATTTGCTTTACAGTCTTGAGACGAGCCTTGTTTCTTGCAGAGCGATTTACAGTGGTCCGGACCTGTAAAAGGTCTTTGAACTCCTCAATTACGTTATAAAACAATCGATAAAGTTTCAATTTCTTAGGTTACAGTACCTCTAGAAATGTTAATGTTTTCACAGTTCCAGACCTCTGAGCAATCCAACACAGCTTACTTACATGCTGACCAACTGATTATTAGGAAATAATTTTTCCAATCTGTTACTGTTCCTCACGCGAAAGGTGAGCTTCGCGGGGCTGGGATTGTTTGCTAGCACGGTAACGATGCCGGCGGGAAACGACAGCATCATATCGCCGCTGAGCTTCACCTGGCATCTTGTCTCGTCGGTACCCCGAAAATAAGAGTGTACTATCTCGTGGAAGGCTACCGCCAGAGGAATAGTATCCGCTAATCCGATTGTCAATGGAGAGGGTCCCCTAGAGGAGCCGACACCGACACCAGCTGTGCGAAACTCCAAGCTGGCCACGCTATCCGCTCTGGATATCGTCGCTGGCGACATCCTACCTCGAGGAGAGGGACCCTCCCCTCTTCGAGACGGTGGTCTGGGAATGATAATAGATCCAGTTGGAGTGGAAGAAGCGGATTGCTTAGGGGGTAATGCCGGAGTGATGTCTCCCACTTCCGAGAACAGGTCACCATCTAAAAGAGGACTTATGTCAGTAAAAGCTTCAATGCGAAACTTCTGTTGATGCGAAGTTGCCTATGACCCAGCGGTGGTTCTACAACACAATTTCACATTCTGACACCGGTACAACTAATGGAATTACGTCTACAGATACAAAGAAGCGGAATGAAACGTTCGTCAGTGGAATACATCCTGAAATTCAACGGATCCCACGCGCAATTTCGAGGGACAAAAAGCATGCCGATGAGTCGTAATGAGACAGGACTCTTTCGACTCACCGGGGAACCGTGAATGAGAGTGCGTGGGTGGTGCGGATTGCGGCGGCTGCGGTTGCGGCGTCGGTGACGATGACAGTGGCGGAGGGCTTTGCAATGGCGCGTACGGATGACTGCCGGTTGGCGTAGAGGCGCTCGATGGCGTACTGCTGGGATTGAACAAGTTTAGGCCAAGTAAATCTGAGCTTGGCTTACCTCCTAATTGTTGTGACACTGACTGAGACCTTTTCATATGGTGATCTGAGTCGGTATTCGATCCTCTACGTCCCTATTATATAAAAAGTGGAATATAAATTGCGGGTATCAAACTCGGGGAGTTGTAAATTAATGCAAACATTTAGGCCGAGTTGAACATTGAACGAATGGGTTGATTGAAACGACAAGAGAATGGAAAGTACCGTCGGCGCAGGCGACAATGATAAATTCTCCACAGTTGCCCTCAGCTCGTCGACACTGGCGCTCATTGGAGCCCCGCCATTGCTAAGCGGTTTTATTTCTACCCTGATTTTCCTCTCCCTCTCATCCTCAGAGTCTGTATCCGAGCTGGAATAGAATCCTTTCTCATTTTCCCATGGGTCTGATTTCGGTCTAATACAGAATCCATCCTCGTCGACTTCCGGTGTCGGTGTCTCCGACTTTCTGCTGTCCTCCTTGTCCTCCCTATTAACAAATTAATAAAGTTTAATCGGACGCACTCTCACAGGTTCCAGCAGGCCCAGTGCATTTTTGTATATACATACGATCGATATTAACTACTTTGTATCGTGACAAACAAGAGTATTCAACGAACATGGTAATATCTCCGTACCGACGTGCTCTAGTGACTATTAGGTGCTGACGGAAGCAGAAGAGATTAAATAACTTAGGAGATCGGTTCCGCAACCAAACTTTCGCTCTGTCAATTATATTTTTGAATCAACGCTACGACTATTACATTTGGTCGATTGTGAATGATATTCTCAAATTAGTGTCTATGATTATTGTACAGCTACAATAATTAGAATTTCTTTCTCAATCTTCTAGAAGATGAAGAAAATTAATATTTATTGTTTTCGACAAAAGCCTAACTCGGTGCTATAAGACAAGCGGTTTAAGCTTGCAAAATTATTGTTGCTGTAAGTTTGTAAGAGCATCGAGTTTTATTGCGGGATCAATCGCGAGTGCACTAGATCTGCTGAAGGTGCGTATACTGACAGGTCAGACTTTTCTTCTTTGTTGCTGCTCGTCTCCACGGCATCCTTCTTCTTTTTTGCTTTCTTGCCCTTCCGCTTTTCTCTCCTACTGCGAAGGAACCCTGTTGGTCGTGGACGCACGATATATAGAAAACAAAGCGGCTCTTAATTATTTACAATTCACCAGATGGTTTTATAAGACTTTCATTTGCCAAATAGATGCGCGCTGCGTTTACTTAACAAGATAGAGCAATTTATACCTGATATCGTATGGATTTCCTATGGAAATTTACGAAAATAATTTACTTTTCTTTTTCGTCTTCATGCGCGTACACAAAAATAGCACAAAAGAGGGGACAAACGATGCAGCAAATATTTCTGTTTCAATATTCCAGAATAAACATTTTGTCGCGACTGTACTGATTCGTAAAGTTAAACTCTCGGCTAGACTAGGGCCGGTTAATCAATTTGTGTGTACTGGACAGTCGACGAAGTGTCTTATAGTAACTATATAAGATAGTATAAAAGTCCGAAACGAAACAGCTACGAACTAAGAAACTAAGAAGCGTAAACTACTATGTTTGGCGGTGTCAAACGTATTTGTACTGAAAAAGTTAATAATGGTAATAAATATCTCGTATTAGAAATTAATGGAAAAACTGGTAATCTAATGGTGTAATGAAAATTAATTTACTTTCCAAGTGTATCAGGCGTAGCGCAACGTGATCAAACAAAAACGACTACGGTAAAATAAAAAAAAAAGAAGAGAACAAAGTAAAACAGACTAAGAAATGATAAATAAAACAATGGTCACCGGATCAACAGTCAGCGGATGCATTCTTTATGATGCTGTTCTAATTATTGTTACATTCTCTAACGATGCTGACACGCGTTTCGGGACTGGACAAACGTCGCAATTCATTCCTTTTTTTTATTCTTAACAAAATGCCATTTCGAACTTTACTTGCAATTGTTGCCTTTAATCCTAAATTAAATTGACGAAATTTTAGTTATCGCCATCAGGATTGACCCTTAACCCCGGATTATTGCGAGCGTCTTTGTCCGCTAATCCGAGGCGCTGATTCTTTGTTAGGCCCGGAAAGCGCATCGGCATTAAACTTTTTCTGCCAAAACACAACGCAATTACGCTGTCACTCCTGCAGTAAATCAAACAATCAACAATAGATAAGGAGTACAAAGAGCTAGCTTGGATAACACGTTACATTAGCATAAGGTGTAAGAACAAACCCATAGTACACCATCACCATATATATATGTATATATAGGGAGGGAGAAATGAAATAGTTAAAATTATCTCTCCACTAGGGATCTGCAAAAGGTCGAGTTTCGGCTTAAATTGTTTTTCTAACAATTACACGTCCTACTGATTACCGATACGTTTCTCAAAACAACAGAACGATACGAGGTTGCGCAATCTCCACGAATAAGATACCTCTAGACAAAACTCGTGGAGCATACGTTATACCACATGTTCTGCAAGCAAGGATATAATACTATCGACATGCAATATAATTGAAAAAAAAAATCCATAACAAGTCACATGGAACACGAAAGAAAAAGACATAATTCCAGAAACGATAATCCCATGATCGGTGAACTCCGTGACGGGATTATCAGATCATTTAGAGAACGCGAACGTTCGCAGCTAATTAACACGTTGAATGCCGTCGGGGTCACCCGTGATCGGCGCTATCGAATTACTTAAAAGAGATTGCAAATTTTAGAACATCAATTGTCCAGATAATAAAGTGAATGCTGCATAATTAATAATCAATCGTGGTTAACACTCAACGTGTTAAGGTGGTATGTGTCGCGATAAGAGAAATTCGGTTTTCTTTTTTTTGTGAACTACTGTCGGCTAATAAATAAACAAAAAGTAAACAAAAACAAGGAGATAAGGGTTGCTTGCAGAATCACATTACGCTACCACGAAGGATAAAATAATTTGCACTTGGAAAATAAATACGAGTACGAGTGAGCCATGCAGTAACAGTTCTCAATAAAAATGGCTCACCTTGGGCCCCCGTCAGTAGCCGAACCCCGCATTCGTATTTCAACGTTATTCAAGTCCAACTCCCTTCGTTCAATTAACTCTATGTGAACACGGTGTTTATTAGAAGGAGGCGGCGACAGAAAGTTTCAAAAATTGTTATTTACGGCTAATGTATGTGCACCAACCACCAGCACGTTGAACTTTTTCCTTTCGAACGTTTACAGTTGTGTAGTAATAATGGTAGCTCGAATTTCAGAAACTTTCCAGGACACTTCGTTTCTCTTAAGGCTAACACATTTGTGAATTATAATCTAAGATTGTAGTCTCTATCGAGCGAGCAGAATATGATAAAAAAAAGAAACATGTAAAATTTTATACAATGAGTTCGTGTTGATAGAAAGAAAATAATCCTCCCTTTGGTCTATGTTTACACAACAGATTGTTAGAAAAACAATTTATAAGTAACAATTTGTGAGAAGTGTTAGAAGAATATCGCCTGTTAGAATTGCCATGTAATCCTAAAACTACAGCCTATAATCTAAGCAAGCCCGATTTCTGTGTTAGTCATGTTCGAGTAAAAACAAAATATTTCTTCATTCTAATACCGGCTAGGACACAAAGAGATATGTATATAATATGTATCTGCTATCAGCTGACAAACTAACGTACCTTCGTTGTATGTATAGACATCTCAATGCAGGGTAATGTATGTCAAAGCGAAGAAATATTTTAACTGTGCCTCAAGAACTAAGGATAAATCAATGTTACACAAGTATAGATCTCCACTAATTATAACGTGAATTAGCGTGAAAACCATTAAAAGAAACGTCTCGCAACGTGATTCTACGCATGTAACATTAATTCGGTGTGCTTAAAAACAATGTTAGTATACGTACACTGCTGATCTAAAAGAGTGCAGAGTGGAGGAACCATAATACGCGTTACCACTGTAAGTCACCAGATATTTTCATTTTACCACTTAAACCTGTATGGCCGTAAAAAAGATATTGAATCAGCAAAGGTATGGTAATATAATTGTCACCAAATACCACAGGCAGAGAACAACCAACAGAGCAAGACAAAGATAAAGGTTGTGTAATAGGAGTGTTGAGTTATAAACGATTTTAGGTATTTTTAGATAAGAATGAGACATTGTTCTAGTATGCAAATTTCAATAGTATTTGTCGTATTCTCAAGGAAATCAGAAATTTAAATACTGTTTTCACCGATATTGGTTTTGAATTACTTTTTTTTACTAAAATTTGACTAATCTATTAACTGCAATAGATGCTGGCATAATTTGTAATAATAATGTAATATTAAAAAATTTGAAAAAATGTTGCAGGAAGCTGTAGCAATCGTCTAATAAGATACCCTCACCTCAATCTTTTTCAACTAACTACCAAAGAAAGCAACATCTCGAAAGAACTTTCTGTATTGTGTGTAGGAGAATACCGTGTAACCGATTGTCTAAATAAACAGTTCAAAATGCAAGTAGTGGATGTGGCAAGGGTACAGGTAATCACAATGTAAGCAGTTACATTTAGATCCTCTGAGAGGGTTCCTGGAGATGCTGGGAGGTGGAACAGCAGGAGGCAGGTTGTTCCCCTGAGGAGTTGCAGGTGCCGAACCAGACCCTGCTTGCTTCTGTTTGTCTGAAACAACACTCATAGCTCATATCTTCGAATAATCTGTGCCTCCAAATGGCCCTTTGCTCTTCATCTTGCTATTTTAAACATTACTTATATCTATTGCATTTTAATTACAGTTCGCACTTTCAGTGGCATAAATGTGTTCCAAAGGGCAACTGCTTCTTTGATTTGCTAATTTATATAAACCAGATCGATTAACATATCTAAGTGAGCTATTAATATATGCACAGTATATTTATTGGTTCATACATTAAATGAACAACACCCTTGGAATACATTTTAGTTTATAATGTCATCCTCCACCTATTGTTAGATTATAACGTTCAAGCATTGTAACACAACCACATAAGCGATAAGTCAATAAAATTGTTCCACATATGCGTAGTTTAATAAATCTGTGATTGAGTAGATAAAAAACAAGTTAAACGAGTGTAAAAGTGTGAAGAGTAAATGGTATTGCTGTGGCAAATTAACATTGCAAAACACATCCACCAAAACATAATGTATGCGAGTAGAAGATTTTTATTTTTTTTTCAAATCTCTTCAATGTTTAAAACGTTTACCAATAGATAATAATTTGTAATAATAATACCAATAGTTTATGCATTATGTTAAGGTAGGACAAAGACTATTGCAATTAAAAAAGAATAAAATCTTGTAAATTCGGTTCAATTTGAAAAAGAAAACCTACCCTGGGAGTTGGACATGAACAGGTTGAGTAGCGAGGTAGTACGGCGGGAAGCCTTGGTGGCTTGTGCATGTGACAGTTCTCTATCCCTTTCATTCAGTCTTTCATTTTCTTTTTCTTGTACCCTCCCCTTTTCCTCATCCACCTGATTACCCCCCCCTTTTAATCCCTGATCTTTTTTTGAACTGTGAGTGTTACCAGCAACTCCTGTTTCTCCATTGGCTCCTTTCGATGTTTCCTTAGGTGTCTCAACATTACCATCTGATTGAGAATGAGTGGTCATGTCTCCTAAATTTGTCATGACTTCTTCGTATTCGATTATATCTGATTTACAAGAAAATTATATAAGTAACATCAAATTTCTATCTATGCACAACAAGTCAAGTTACCTGGCTTCTCAAAACCTGTATATTTGCTTTGCACAAACTGTTCCAGCAACTTATCCACTGTCATGTCCAGACACTGACGTTTAAAGTCGATATGGACCTGACCAACTTGTTCATGATTAGTCTGCAAGACATCTGCATAGATAGTTAAAAACTCCTTCATGTGTTTCAGATGTGTCTCCTCCACATCCTGGAATCTCTTATCAATGAAAAAAAAAGTTCTATTAGTATAACACTTAGGTGGTAATTCAGAAAAATATAATAGATCAATACCCTGCAAGCCTGAGTCATTTTGGTTTTAAAATCGTTCCTAATAACCATGTATTTGTCTACCAAAATTTTATAATCATCCTGTGCTTTCTTGAACTTAATTTCTGCTTTTTCTAACTCTTTTTGACTGGCATTGTCCTTCTTTAATTTTTCAAGTTCCAGACCCTTTTGCATACGCATATCTTTTGCCTTTTGTAAGGTCACAGTAATGCTTTGTATACTTTGCACAACTTCCAAAGTAGATGACTCCTCCTCTTTTACCTAGATATTTTAAATAATTATGTATTACTAATTTCATAAATCTTTATATCTCCACTAACATTATTGTCTGAGAGAACGAGTGACCCAACTGTGTGGGCGGATACTGATAAGGTTCGAAATATAAATGTGATTCATAATAAAATATGATAAACAGTGGTAACAAATGAGGCAGATAAAGAAATCTTTACATCTTTAGACCTTTTTTGAAAAACTAATTAATAATGTTCATGAAAATATATTTTACAAATTTATGTATAAAAATGATTTAAAAAAGTGTTACGTACAGCCTTATGTTTTTTATGTAATTCGTCTGCATATTTTGATACATCCTTTATCAGTTCTGTGACCTTCTGGGCCATCTGCAGGTGCAGGCCTGCAAGTTTTTCTGCTGCACCTCTCAGAGCAGCCCAAACAGGTGCAAATGTTCCTTGGGTGCTACTGGTATTGCCAACTTGTTTGGCTACCTTAGTTAGAAGTTTATAATTGTTTTCTTCTATGGCCGATTGCTCTTTTAAAAAGTCAGCCAACTCCTTACTTGCGACTACACCATGCTTCATGTTATGATATAGCACGTCAAATCCATTATTCTTTTCGCCCTTAAATCATAAAATAATGCAGGTTTAAATAAACAATTTTATTAATAATTAATACAAGCTGCAAGGAAATAATAGGGTTATATTAATTGCCGGTACACGAATATCTAAGAGGAAAAAATTCCATTTGCAATTAATATATCTCAACTGGAAGAGATATACAAAAGTATACTTAAGACCACTTAGCCACTTAACACTTGAACTCTGATCATGCTATAAACTCACGTAGAGCAGAACTCTTGAGTGTCATCGTCGCAATAAGCTGTCATTATATGTTATTACTCTTGTCATCCTATTGTATATATTACTTGCAATGCATGTCCTATTGCTTAATTATTTCTGTGAACCTCGTGAACAAATAAAACTAGATACTTTTCAGATAGAATAAAATGTTTCTCAAAAAACAGAAATAATTTTCCAACAAAAAATGAAGTCAATGGTAGTTTCTTTGAGTTGTTGTAACATTAACTCTGTTCCTACATGATTAGGTATTTTTAAAAATATCAGCAGCATATCCTGTGCGTAGTAATCTCCAATAGATAGAATTTCAAAGAACTTGAAAGGAAGTAATAGCTATCTTATCTGCACAGAGCTTTCATCCCGAGTGAGCAATGTCACGTCTCCCAAAAAATTTGTGGACCTAAAACCATGATCACAAACAAGCGTGAAACTGTTTGTATTCTAAGAATTGTTTTCAATAGCATGCGACTAAGATTTCATAGTCACTTTACCGTATTTATTTGATTACATAAATTGCTCCAATTTGGAGTAAATTGATCAACTAACTGTTGCTTTAAAAGAGTGCAACTTATAGCGAACAAGCACGGTCGCAGATTAATATGAAATATTATTATATAAATAATATTATTATACGAAGAATTCGAAACAGGTGACAGCAAGATGATTGGAAAATATTTGCAAGCGTCTTTTTATGAAGTTGAAAGTTCCACTCCCTTTCGCGCTCGAGCTCTAAACGCATACATGTCAACATACGATCAAGTACGCGTTCCCCGTTGGTTTTCTACGGTGGCTGGCGGAGAGACGACACGGGGATGAGATGACAGGGAGAGGTGAACGCGTAACCTTGCATTAGCGAGAGAGGAGCGAAGAGGAGACAAGCATGCCGCGTAATGCGGAGAGAAAAAGAGACGAGCGAAAACGACCATGATAAGGTGCAAGGAAGAAAGAGAGGGAGAGAGACGGAGAGAAGAAAAAGGCTTTCATTGAAGGGAATGCGTCGATTTTACGCGAGAAAGAGAATGTTGCCTCGGACGTGACGTGCAGGGACGACTGCCAGAGGTTCTTTCGGTATCGGGCGCGCTTGGGACGGGATGGAAAATGGGAGGATATTCTTGCCTCTACATAACCTAAATACGACGAGTATGACAATCTAGAATAATACATAAACTGGAGGAGACACTCACCCAAAAGTAGTCGGCGAAATCCACAGTCATGTTGGAACTGCGATCAGACCATCATAATTTATCTTCTGGTGTATCAGGCCGCACTGCACCGTTAATAACGAACCATTGACACACACATATATATATACACACACGGTACTATATACGATGCAACCGTTCGAGCCGTACAACGAGACGTAACTCAATTTACGACGAACGTTTTCGTGCTTGGACGTTTCGAGCAGAACGAGCGCGCTCGACCGCGGAGACACGGGTCAACTTATTTCAACTATCTCTGTCGTTCGCCGTTCTCTTCTCCTCCTCTCTTTCCAAGTAAGTGACACCTATCGCCACCTTACGGCCAACTGGCGAAGGTAATTTATGGCGGTCGGTAAAACTGTGCATTTTACTGGATCTACCGGAAAATTCTGTCCAGTTTCAAGAATAATGTCTAACAAAAATCACACACGTTTGTACGTATTACTGTATAGATTCCACCGTTATTTACACCCCATCGTTACCCTCTTTGTCGCATTTCACGAATATCGAATTGTTGCTACAAATAAATATTTCCTATATCGTCATCGGTGACAAGTTAATTGTTGGATTTTTAAAATTGTCGTTCTGTGCCGTAATATAATAATCATGTTTGACCTACCTTTCGCAGCTTTGAAGATTTGAAAATTCGAGTTGTTCCATTCTGCTGTTAGGGTCCTTAGATTTCTGCATCGAAGCCAAAAGATGCTTGGCGGAATGCAGGCACCGATAACTGTACGATAGATTCTTTATGTTATCCAATTGCTATTATAATTTCATCGTTATCTTTAACTATTACATCAGACAGTTTGCCCTAACATTATGTAACCAGTACAACACGCTACCTGTTAAGAACCGATCGCTCACTTCCGGTAGCACGACCGGAACTGAACCTACGTTCACGCCGCTAGCCAGATAACCTTTTCACCTCGTATTAAATATACACTTGCAGCGTGCACGTAGTTAAGCGATTTACCACATTCGGACAGGGGCGCTACTAAAAGCTCAGGGCCGAGTATTTTTTTTGGTATCTCGGAAACGTATCCTACATTTTTTTTTCCTTTCGAATCACTTGTTCCAAAACTGCAAGTACACGCATATACATATAAGAAGAGCACGTATAAACGAACAATCATGTGTATCCTTGTCAGAGATACGTCGACGCATCTTCGAATTTATTGTTTATTGGAAATTTCGTGCCGGACTACGTGATACTGTACTGCGCGCGTATTTTCCGCAGGAAAAACGATTTTGCATTTAGTCGGTGGAAATTGAGCGTGGGATAACACGAATCGATGGATAGGCTTGAAAAGGAAAAACGATGATGAGGAGAAGTTCGTGGAACGTGCTCGGAAAATTCGAAAGGGGCGGCAATGACTATTGAAAACGTTGGAAGACCGGGAGGCGTGGCCTCGAATAATCAGCTCAGGGTAGTCCAGTGTCCTTGCGCATATCCAGTGGCTATACGTTACACATGCACGGCAGCTCACGTGTGTATCGTATATACGTAAGAGAAGCAAAGAAGTTCGAGCGAGCGTTATCAATCACTCTTGTCGCTGGACCGAAAAGGTGCATCGGAGTCTCGGCGTGCCGTCGACAGGTAGAACAAGCCCAGTCTCCGTGGATCGAGGGATCACGGCGATGCCCGCGAACAAGGGGAACCTGTCGACGCCTCACAAAGAAAAGCCAGGAAACGGTTTGACGAACGCCGCCGCCAAGAAGAAGAAACGCTGCACCGTTAAGCATAAAAAACATTGCAAGCAATATCTGGTGAGTGAGCCGAAACGAATCGTTAATTTCTTGCAAAAAAAAAACAAAAAAAAACGAACGGCCATGTTGCGATCGAGTCGAGTCCAGTGATCTCGCGTTACAGAGACGAATCTCGGGATTCGCTACGAATAAAACGAAGGTTGAGATAATGGTAGAACTTGATCGATTACGTTTCCCCATCGTGTTTACATTCGCGTTCGACGGTCCGAAACAGTTCTCTACCGCGGATGCGATCGAACGAGTCGTACGGCGGACGCGTTGTAGGTTATGTGTTGCAGAATGTCTCGAGTCGAAACACGATAGGGTTTGTTCACCTTTACCGATGCATGGTCGAAGTATTACGGCTTGCAACGATCGATCCGGTGCAAGCATGCCTCGGTGCCGGTTACGATGCAGTTTTGCATTTCGAAGTTCCTCTCGTGATTTAACGTGCCGCGTCCAAACCGCCGGGCTCATTTCCATATTCCGTTCTGGCACGGTTCGCGTATCCTCCGCTCGCGGCTAGTCTCGATTATTTTTTTTCTTTCTTTCAACGCGATTAATTATTCATCCGCCGGTAATGTTCGCGGCGACTGTTTATCTCGTACCGATTCGCTTTTTTACGGAACGACCGATCTTTTTACCGATACACGCGCGTCTCGTCTTAGCCAGCGAATTTTGATAGTTTCTCAGGAAACTATCACAGATCTTCTGGCATTTTTTCAACGACACGCCGAATTCGTTTTCCAACGTTTCTATCGATTTTTCAGTTTTTTTTCCTTGCCAGCGAGAGCGTTGAACTCGACGGTTAAAATAGTCCATTATCCCCTGCGAAGCGCGAATCGATACGAGATAAAATTCCCTGAATTGGAAAGTTTCTGCGGACTTCGAATCACGAGGAACTTCGCGCGACGATTTCCATTAACCTGTTAAACGAGTTGCCGCGTCATTCGCAATTATTTGTATCTCTCGACTGCTTCTTGTTTTTTTTTCTGAACCGACGTAACGACTGTGGTAGCTGTGAAAATACGATTCAAGTTCTTACACGATTTACTCGTTAAATTATTCGGTTAACAGGTTAATCCGCGTGCACATTGACGACTCTGAACCTTCAAAATCCTACTGTGTAATGTGACAATGTATAAACAATTGTTTCTTAAATATATCATTGGAATGGTTTATTTTTTTACGGGACCTGCATTCGAATACCCCATCCTTGACAACACTTTAGAGTATGTAATACCTCTGTAGCACCTGTACAAATCGTTCCTTTACACGTAACAATTGAGTTCGAGGTTCGCGTGTCTCCATTGCTAACTGCGGGATACATCGTACAGTGCCAGATAAAAGTATTTTGTACACCACTCTTTTCAGTTTTTTTCTTTTTTCAATAATAATAGCATTCTCAGTGTAATATTTAAATTAATATATATAATATTATATTATTTATTTATATATTATTATAAATATATTATATAATATATATTATTTATATATTATATTATATTATATATATATTATTTTATTATTATATTATATATATATTATTTTATTATTATATTATATATATATATATATATAATATTTATATTAATAATTATTTACGTCAGCTTACGCGCCGATAGATGGCGAACATTAACGTACCAGTTCGCAGTAATTAATCTTTCGTTCGGTGTTACACCGAAGAGACTATTAAGAGTTGAAAAGCGGGTGCTGCGAATACTTTTCTCGTTAACTGTACATAGACGTAGATACGCTAATGGACAAGCGCATAAGCATTTCACGTTGCGGTTACGCTGCACCGTCGAATGACTATACTGCTCAGCAATATATTTATAGCGTACGTTGAATAAATATAATGAGCAAGGTTACTTACACTTTTCATTTAACTGTCCAAGAAAGAAAGAAGCGAATTACTGCTGCGCAGTTCCTGTTTCCATTAACGGGAACGAGTTTGCTTAAACATCCGCGATATTCTGAAGTTTTTTAGTCGATTTCGAAGTTAAAAATAGTTCTCCGCATGAAAATTGAACTACGAAAAGGCATGAAGTTAAAAGGGTAAACTTGGTAGTCGAGTTTGCAGGTGGAAAGCTCCCTCTGTGATCACTTCATAGTTTTTCGTCTTTTTAGTTCTTAGTTTTGTCGCGTCAACTTTTTGAGGCGTTGTTGATGAAATTGTGGTACAATGGAGGTCAGGTGCAACTGAAGTGGAACTTTTTCAACTGAATTAGTCGATTTTCTGATAAACGAGTCCTATTGTGAAAACGTTTCTTTTGCCATTCTATTTTGTCCGGCGAACAGCTCTCGTTCGTACAATTGGAAATTTTCAATATATTCTATACAGGTGTAAGGTACAAAATGATCCAGTTTTGTCCAGTGTTGTAACCTTCGCGCGATATGGTATATTTAGAAATCATAAGCGTTGATGAAATTATGGTACAACTGGATAAAAATATAAAATTAAATAGTAATATACAATTAGGTAGTAATATAATTTAAGTTTCTAAACAATTAATACTCGCACGGGGACATTTTTGTTGTCAGCCCTTTTTTAATCAAACGATTAGTTTCCACCTCAATTGTACCGCCATTTTGGTTAAGACCCTAAGCGTAGATACGAAGGGGAAGAATTAAATTTCGTCCGATTTTTTTTCTGATGCCGCAATTTTCACGTGAAATGGCATATTTTCTGCGAAATGACATAAGCTCGAGGCGGTCTTACGCAATTTCGAGCAGGGACGAAATTCGTTTGCGAAAACCGGGTTGCGACGCAAAGGGGGATAAAATAAAATCGTGTACAACGGAGGCTGACGATAGACAGGCCCTGACGATGTATTAGCGACTTAGGATGCACGTATTGATTTCTAAGAATGCCAAGAAAAAGAGGTTTGTGCTGATTCGGCGAGAACAAAAGACGACACCAATTCCACTTCTGCAGTCCACTTGAGCCACTTGCTATTATGCCTCGTATAGGCGCAGAAGTTGGCAAAGCCGTATTGGCTTACCTGTGCGAAAAGAGTCCGGGGACGCCCCCACGTATTTTTCTAATTTCACCTCGGAGGCGTGTCAATTTGTCTGCAACGGTCTTTAAATCAAAATATCGGGTTTTTCTACAATGCTATTTTTGTAATTTGTTTTGACGCTGTTACTCTTTCCAATGACGATGCGTTAGCTAGTTGAAGTTCAATTAGTCGTTAGATTGATAAATGCTTCGTTAAGATTTGTTCCTAGAAATGGAAATTATACGTGACTCAGAATATTTCTTTTGCAATCATCAATTTGTTTCAGTTAACGCAGTGGACAATTAATTGCATTTCAGAATTTATGATTCATAGCAGATGATTTTGCAGTTATTATCTGAAAGAATATTTTTATGGTTCTTTTTGATACGGTGTAACATTAAAAGTACTGTAAAAAGATGAGGCAATTTGCAATCATCAATTTGTTTCAGTTAACGCAGTGGACAATTAATTGCATTTCAGAATATATGATTCATAGCAGATGATTTTGCAGTTATTATCTGAAAGGATATTTTTGTGGTTCTTTTCGATACGGTATAATATTAAAAGTACTATAAAAAGATGAGGCAACGTTAACATTTTTCTTTTGCTTTAGAAATTCGCAAATTCCGATCATTAAAGCGTTCAACTTTATTCAATAAAGTGGACAACAAGATGGCGGTAGAAGTGTTTTTCAAAAACTGCTGGTTGATCGTTCGCCGTTTCATTTAATTAAAAAGGAGGGGATGGAAAAACCTGGAAATCGTTAAAATAAATGTGAACTTCTTTTTTTTTTACTCGCGACACGACGAGTATTGGATGGAGATGTAATTCATGCAATTCGAGCAGGTGCCGTTGGAGCGAACGGAAGCGGAAGTCGAGCGTAACTTATCGTCGGTGTGCAGGGTGCACGCGTGTGTGCGTGCATAACCGCGTGCCTGCGAGAGTGCACGCGTGCGTGAGTCCGATGCGTTTTAACACCGAGCTAGAATTGCGTCAAAGTTCGCGTGTCGACGTGCCGTTTCTTTCGTTTCTCCGATTGGCCCGCCCGTTACCCGCGAAATTAAACGCGTCACGTGTCCGATCGATTCGAATTTAACACAGTTTCTGCGACGAAAGGA